AAAATTGCAAGAAAAGGGCAAACTTTAGCGTCAATTTTGAGGCAGTTATGACAGAATTTCTCGGGGGTTCAAGGGTGCATCTTAAAAATGCACTCTTACTCTATAATAAAATCGCGAAATAACTAAAATATGACGAAGGCTTCCCGAGATATAGCCTGTTTTCCACCGCGTGTTTTGAAAATTGCAAGAAAAGGGCAAACTTTAGCGGCCATTTTGAGGCAGTTACGACCGAATTTCGCGGGGGTTCAAGGGTGCATCTTACAAATGCGCTTTTACCCTATAATCAAATCGGGAAGTAGCTAAAATATGACAAAGGGTTCCCGAGATATGGCCACTTTTCCACCGCGTGTTTTGAAAATTGCAAGAAAAGGGCAAACTTTAGCGTCAATTTTGAGGCAGTTATGACAGAATTTCTCGGGGGTTCAAGGGTGCATCTTAAAAATGCACTCTTACTCTATAATAAAATCGCGAAATAACTAAAATATGACGAAGGCTTCCCGAGATATAGCCTGTTTTCCACCGCGTGTTTTGAAAATTGCAAGAAAAGGGCAAACTTTAGCGGCCATTTTGAGGCAGTTACGACCGAATTTCGCGGGGGTTCAAGGGTGCATCTTACAAATGCGCTCTTACCCTATAATCAAATCGGGAAGTAGCTAAAATATGACAAAGGGTTCCCGAGATATGGCCACTCTTCCTCCGCGTGTTTTGAAAATCGCAAGAAAGGCGCAAACTTTAGCGTCCATTTTGAGACAGTTACGACCGAATTTGTCGGGGGTTTAGGGGTGCATCTTAAAAATGCACTCTTACCCTATAATAAAATTGAGAAATAACTAGAATATGACAAAGGGTTCCCGGGATATGGCCAGTTTTCCACCGCGTGTTTCGAAAATTTCAAGAATAGGTCAAACTTTAGCGGCCATTTTGAGACAGTTACGACCGAATTTCGCGGTGGTTCAGGGGTGCATCTTAAAAATTCTTTCTTACCCTATAATAAAAGCGAGAAATAACTAAAATATGACATAGGGTTCCCGAGATATGGCCAGTTTTCCATCGCGTATTTTGAAAATTGCAAGAAAAAGGCAAATTTAGCGGCCATTTTGAGGCAGTTACGACCGAATTTCGCGGTAGTTCAGGGGTGCATCTTAAAAATTCGTTCTTACCCTATAATAAAACTGAGAAATATTTAAAATATGACATAGGGTTCCCGAGATATGGCCAGTTTTCCACCGGGTGTTTTAAAAATTGCAAGAAAAGGGCAAACTTTAGCGGCCATTTTGAGGCAGTTACGACCGAATTTCGCGGGGCTTCAAGGGTGCAACTTAAAAATGCACTCTAACCCTATAATAAAATCGTGAAATAGCTAAATTATGACAAAGGGTTCCCGAGATATGGACAGTTTTCTACCAAGTGTTTTGAAAATTGCAAGAAAAGGGCAAACTTTAGCGGCCATTTTGGGGCAGCCACGACCGAATTTCGCGGGGGTTCAAGAGTGCATCTTAAAAATGCACTTTTATGCTATAATAAAATCGAGAAATAACTCAAATATGACAAAGGGTTCCCGAGATATGGCCAGTTTTCCACCGCGTGTTTTGAAAATTGCAAAAAGGAAAAATTTTAGAGGCCATTTTGGGGCAGTTACGACCGAATTTCGCAAGGGTTCCGGGATGCACATTAAAAATGCACTCTTACCCTATAATAAAATTGAAAAATAGCTTAAATATGATAAAGGGTTCCCGAGATATGGCCAGTTCAATTGCAAGAAAAGGGTAAACTTTAGCGGCCATTTTGAGGCAGTTACGACCGAATTTCGCGGGGCTTCAAGGGTGCAACTTAAAAATGCACTCAATTAAAATATTGCAACATGCAGGTCATAAAACATTTGACCGAATAATATAACTTAATAAAAACTTACCAATGCAGTGCTCATTAGATTGCTAGGACACAGCAAGTACTGCAATGAAAAGAAAACATAAGTTAAAATAAAAACATTGCATACAATATAATATTATATTCATACATTCGAGAAAACAAACATTCTGCGCTGAGTAGCGCAAGTCACAGATAAGTTACTTACTCAAGTACGAGGGGACTTCCTTATGACGGGAAACACCATGGCAACAATATGCATTTGGGATGTAAACGTCAAACGCAAATATATAAGAATTATAGATATTAAAAGCACAATTAACCATTAACAAAACTCTGCAGATGCATGTTACAAGTAAATAGTCAATTGATCACCGAATACAATGCAAATTTAGAAAATAATAGTCCGATAAAACGTTACGAGTGACGCGAAATACGTCTAGATACGCCAGCTACCTGCACGAAACAGGCTGCAATCCATCGATTGCGCAAGCAACGATGCGGCAGTTCCCTATAAGACAATGTGCCTGCAGCATGAACCCCGCAGGTAAAAGCAATATACGAAGCGGCCCGCCGACAACGTGACAACGTGCGTCGTATGGAGATGGCAACGCCGACCCACGGGCATTCGATAAGAAAATGTAAGTTGTGTTCAAAACAAACACAATTCTCGCATCGAATGCCGTTTGCTGATAAATACAGGAATAAAGAATACAATTCTATTTTATGATTTTTAGGTCAGGGAAGTGCCATCTTTGAATGCTACAGATAGTAGTCCCGTCATTAAAATTATTTAAACTAATCAAAAATTAAAATTCGAGTTGTGTAATTCTAATTTCTCATGGTGAAAGATTTTCGTGGGGTAAAAGGGAAAAAAAACGTAACTAAAAGTGCTAAAAAGTGCAATTTTTTTTCACCTAATTCATTATCGCAATTGAATATATCGTAAACAAATAGCGGTAATAAAGAAAGGATTGAAAAATATTAATCTACGAGAAATTCTCTATAAAACAAAGTATTAAAATATTGCAAGATGTGCTTCAGCAAAGCAAACAAGGTCGCAACAATTCATGATAAGACTACCTACGCAATTTGCAATAGACACGATACCTGCGATCTAAACTAAACTAGAATACGCTGCATGCAGCAAGTTGATGCGGCGTGAGAAGACGGCGCGCGGGACACATGCGATATAAAGTGGTTTATATTGAATCGCTGATAACAGCACTGTATACAAAATTATTCTTGTGGCCACGTTTGTCGATAAATATAAAAATAAGTCGTATAACTCGATTTTAAAATTTTTAGTACATCCTAGTGCCATCTATGAATGCTACAGATAGTAGTCCTGGAATTTAGATTAATAAAACACTAAAATTCAAATCATGAAATTATTATTTCTTATACTAAAAGATTGATCGATTTTACATCAAATATTTAATTTAATTTGAACATGTATTGTATATATAATATTTAGGTTTATATTTTAGCAATGAACAATTCCAACTGAATTCAAAAGGAAATTTATACTAAAATAAAAGGCTCGAAAAAATGTTTTGTTGCAACTTCAGTAGAAGAAATTATGAATTTCAACTGACAGTTTTCTGCTGAAAATTATTCTCACATTTGACCAAATTAAGTAAAATTTGATTTAAATAAAATGTTCAGGATCATTTCTTACAGGTACATTCAATATAAAAAGTTTAAATTTACAAATTTAATTTTTCTGTAGAAAAGGTGATCTCACATTTTATCAAATTGCAGGAAAACTATAGGTCCAAGAGTAAAATTTTATTAAAATAAAATGCTCAGGGAGACCTTCTATAAGAACTTCCGAAATAAAAAGTTTAAATTTATAAATTTAATTTTTCTCTGAAAATGTAAGTTAAAGCAGGAAGTCCTAGACTTAAATTTTACTATGATAAAGTGTTCAGAGCGACGTTTTTTCATTTAAACGTCGTTCTGAACATCCTTAATAAGAGGTTTGAATTTCCATTTTCAAATTTCCTGCGGAATGCTTGACCGGACTTTACGCAAAACGAAGTTTAAGATATTTATTCTCTAATTGCAGGAAAACCGCAAAATCGAAAAATAGATACTATGAACGATGACAAATTTCACTCACCAATGTGTCGAACACCGTAAATCAAATGCGAGTAGATACTGAAATAAACAAGAAACGAAACTTTAGTTATACAGTTTAGGACAATGTTGAAATGAATCCGAGTTTCGGAGAAACCCAAACTTTGCCATAAAAATTGTCTTATTTGCCATAATTATTTAATTAGTAATATTTACCAGGTAGAACAGCCGCCCGTCGTGTTCTGATGAAGACAAAAATGGTTCGCACAACTTCAAAATATTATTTACAATCACACAACACGGCCGACTGGCGTCCGACGGCAAGCGATCCCAGATACACGCGAAACTAATAAACACACAAAACATTGAATTCCAAAGATTCCACACGCGATAAATATTTAGCGACTAAAACCCGTCTATTAACATTAAATTCCAGCAAATATAACGCGATATAACGAATTTTCAACACGATACACGAATATCCATGTAAGTTCTAGTACTTATCACACGAAGTAAGAGTTGCGTGCCGGCTACACGACAACTGGGCACGTCGACTTTCACTCGCAGGAATAATTTTAGCAAAAACATGTATTATTGCGCCATCTGAAGTTTCTTTTGAGTACCTCAAGTAAATACAAAGTGTATCAAAAAGTGTGACGTGCATATGAGGCAGTGAGTGATTGGCTATTGGGTAGTGTATGGTCACGCACTTAAATGGCAGTTTCGGAGTGTCACACGCACACGCGCTGTTGCGTGCACCACCCTATCTAAACGAATAGAAATTTTTATACATAACTCAAAGCTTCGAATGTAGTTGCCGCTAGAATTTATTAATTCAAAATTAATGAACTAAATTTTGCAATTTTAGTGCAAATATTTATTAATTTGAATGCTGATCCTTCTATTTTTTTTAAATTAAATTTTATGGTGAATAATGTAATTGTATAGTTGATAATGCCATTTATGTAAGACGTGTCTCTCAAATACAAAACAATAAAACAATAAAGACGCCAAAGAATTAAAACCCAAAATGAAAGCATGTAACTCAAATCTGTGGTTTAATTATTTATTTATTTATTGCTTGTATACATAATAAATAATATGTAATTGAAAATATTTCAATGTGTGATGTTGGTTGCCAACAATCGTGCTCTGAGCGTCTAATATTTTAATTGCAATAATTGAACGTCTCAAACTGTATCTAACAAAACTACAACTTAAACCTTTACAACCAAGATCTTTAACAATAAAAGTGCTATTTTCTCATCTCTATTTTCAAGTACTGGTAGCTAACTTTTCTGTTAATGATTCTAACTTTTGTAATGTTGCCTTACATTTTTAGAAGTTTTAATCAATAACCGGCAAGCGATTTCTCGAGCGCGGATATAACGCAATATGGGACACTCGCATTCGGTCCTTATCAGTCATGACAGGTTTGAATGAATCTCCAATTGTGACTGTACCACCTTCCTGTTTCGTAAATTTGTTCGGTTTCTCAGAGATTGATTTTACTGGTTTTACTTCAAGTGCATCTTCCTTCTTCTTTTTTTGATTGTAGTAAAATACTTCACCAGCAAGGGTCAACATGGCTAACACCAATCCAAAGAGAGTAGCAATAAACACACCACCTGTAACATTACATTATAATTGATGGTTAAAAATTAGTTTTTAGGATTTTATGTCTTAGTATGTAAATACCTAAACTTTCAAGAGTAATGCCTTCGTTGTCATCTGCCGACGCGCAATCTCCTTTTCTCGAATGATTCCAATATTTTGCTTGAAGAGATTCAAAGAATCGATCTTTCTGAAGGTCTAAAATCCTGTAAAATAAAAAGCAATAGAAAAAATGATTTAATTACCATCGCATTTAAAACTTTACTAACATAATACTAATGGTATCTTGCAAATGACTTCCTTGTTGTATAGCAACAGCGTATGGTCGTTCAGCAAACACTTCTCCAACTTCAGTCAGATTACAATTCTTCGAAATCTCGTATTTCACTTCAGCAGAATCATGAATGAATGCAAAGTCTGCATCCAATCGCTCATCCACTTTATCAAAACCCTCCTCGGCGTTTTGCACAGGCATCGAATCATTGATAGCAATTAATATTTGCCCGTACTGCTCACGAATCGGATAATCCCAAACGCGATACTGCGTGTTATCCGTGGATGCGTTCAATGTCAACTCCTTCCACATCTTGTACAACGTATCCTCCGCGTACTTCATGTTAATGAAGTATTTGTGTGTCTCCGAACTTTCTACAACCGTGTAATTAATTCGAGACTGCCGGGCCAATTGTTCCAAAGATTGGACAGGCGTCTAAAAAATAACACAAATCAGCAAAAACACGAGAAAAACATTTTAATCTTACTGCATTTCTTTTAGATTGCAATATTGCGAATATAATTCAATGAATGTTTTGTTATGACTGACAAAAGTAAGTGAAAGTTTAGCTCGTGTTTATTGATTTTCTTTGGTTGCTGGTTTAGCATGAACGATCTTACGTAACAAAAAAGACTTACTTGCATTCTTTCCACGGTTAAAAATGCAGCCAAGTTAGCTGTGAATGTTGCAAGCATTAAAACAACAAACAACCAATATGCAGCAACAAGAGTTCGGCCTGAAAGGGCTTTCGGTGCTTCACCACCACCTTGGGGTGTAAATGAAGTTAATGCAAACCAGAAACTTTCCTTCAGATTAAATTGCCTGAAATTCATTTAATTTGTTATTGTAAAACACTTCATCAATGTTTTATTAAGCTGGTCAGTGTTGTAAAGCAAAATTGATTACCGTAATAAAAATGAAGTAATAATGAATAGATTTGTTTCCATGATAGATGTAAACTAATGCAAATATATTATTATTGACATTAAAATTACCTTGTGGGATAAGGATATGCTTTTTTATTATTTCTTGCGCTGTACGGTGAATATTTATCGAGGAACCATACCATGAAGCCGGTGACCACTAATGCGCCAACAATACTCAGCCATACTTCCAGCTTTAACACGGTCATGAACTTAAAAAGCGATGTTTTCCTCACGGGTTTCCTCATTACTGCAACACACACAATGCATACCGGAATATATTCACTTTCTATACTTGATTTGCAGATATGTGCAAACAACATCATTATTGGCAAGGATTGCGATTGCAATTACTGCGTAATCAACGTTTTAAAATAGACATATTATAATTATACGCATACATTATTAAAATTATTCAATACCTATTGTAATTCCAACTTGTTCGTAGTATGGTGCGATGAAATCGATTACTTCTTCGCGGTCAGCTGTCATTGTAAGTGCAGCTACTGCCAAATCGGTTTGCTGTAAATTGCATTTCATTTATATTTGCACAGAAGTTTTCTGAACTGTGTTAATTAATATAAATACAATTTTTACAATTTAAATGAATTTGACGTGATATTTGAGGAAACAAAATTTTGCAGATTCTGTTTGCAAAGTGAAAGATGAGAAAATGCTATTAAAAATTGAAATTTTTATAGCAGCAAAATGTTTTGTTGCTTATTGCTTACCCCTCGAACTAAATCACCAACAAGACCATCCCAGTTCCCATAAAAATCCTTTTCACCAAAAGTACCTTTCTCTGGTATAACAAGCTCATAGTCAAAGTGCATCAATTCTGATAATTTATGAGCAAAATCAATACAATAACCAGTCCAATATTTAACACCCGTTACTGGATCTGTTTCCTCGTAACTCCAAGGTAATGCCTAACAATTTAATAATTAAATTTTGGGTACCGGTGTAAATGTTCTAATTAACTTACGTATGTGGTACCAATTCGGAAAAACAATCTCACCGGTTTGACCAACTCGGGTTTCAGTACCTCCAACCCTTCGCCATGTACATATTTAGCCACCACTTCAGATTCTCCTGTATCGACCATGGTTTCCACGGCTCCCTTTGCCCTTATTCGTAAAATTTCATTCTCTTCAATAACAACATCTTCCATAGTTCCAAACACGCCATCGATACGTTTGTAAAAGTCTTCATAAATCGCTTGATCAAACTTAGTTTCATTGCATCGGATTTTTCCAGTTTGTGGTTCAGTGACAAATTCATCAATAAAAGGCATTAATCGTCTCAAAACCGCATCAATAAACGCAGAATACAGATCATCTTCCGTGGCGCAGTCACAAGTCTGCATTTCTTTCAAACCGCAACATACTGATTTATCCAAATACAGAATATTTATATTTTTAATGATATCTAATCGATACAAAGAATCGTATTCGAAGTCTAATATCAGTAGATTCCATCGTTCTGCAAGTTTCAGTAGTCCATCGGTTGAGACCTAAAACGTCACCAGCAAGTTACAATGACATATAGATTATAAGTTGATAAGTATATATAAATGTTGCGTATGCAAAAAACAAATTTTGAAGTGTGAGTGACGTATGCAATCTGGTATTACTTTTGTGCTAGCATAAGACTCATATGTGATAATAACTGTTTGAATGTATGCAAATCACTCTGAAAATGACCTGATTGTAGAGCGTGTTCATTTTGGCTGTGGTAGTAATCAGAGTGTATGCGTTCGGCGTTGGACGCATTTCCTTCAGACGTTTTGATGATACACTGTCGAGTTTTTCCGTGACAACCATTCGTAAACGCGTTGTATCTATCCAATAATACAACGTTTGGTCCACATCTAATCAAATAAATTGAGTGAGTTTTATATTCAGTTATCATTGTATTTATGGGATTTATTGAATGCATTGTTGAGTTTTAACGTTTGTGATATTTTATAATTGTGTAATTGCGAATGAAAACAAAAATTCTTCGATGAAATACGTAATATATGTATTATTATCTTACGATAAGGATTGTCGAATATTAACGCTACGTCAGTAGTATTCCTGGCATCCAAATATCTATCCAGTAGATCCAAATGTGCACTAATAGACACGTCCAAGCGGAGATATGGCACATTGAACTCTTTTGATATTTCCTTTATCGGCTCGTAGCCAGACCAGGAAATGTCGATGATGAATGTGCCATCAGAGGCAAACGCGTTGCACACTAAAGCGATCAAATTACAGCATTTAGAGATTGTTGTTATGAAGCTGACTGACTGTTTTGCGTTTTGTTCTACATACTCTTATCGAACTCATTGTTGTTTTCCTCGAGTTCAACCGCGACCAAATCGACGGCGTTTGCTGAATTGACATCGTTGGTTTTTAATGCTTGCGTGAAAATATCGACGTATTGATCTTGACCAACATCATGTACCAAAACTGAAAATTAAAAGAGAGAATTTGAGTCTATGATAATAGAATATAGACTGGGCAAGGTTCAAACTTAGTTTAAAGTTTTAAATTTTATATAGTAAAAAATGAATGGTGGTAAACGATGCGCATTTTTAATCTTACAAAGAAAGCCCGAAAACCGAAATTTTGACTTACAGGTGGCAACAAAATATTTAAATACTATTAAAATTTATGTAAATCAACTAGGTCTTACAGGGTTATTATCATTAATCATATCAGAAACAAACATATTTTTAGAGTCCATGGAAAACCTTTACCTACCTTTGCCCATATTTGTTTTGTGCACCTTGCTAGATTATATGTAAACAAGTAAAGTAATTGGGTTTTCTTATCAAATTCTAGCTTTTGATAAACACTCAAAAAATGTCATAACCACGAACAAAATATCTGTTTTTGCGCGTGGCGATTATACATTTTTGAAATAATCAATTTACTAATTACATGGTGGATGTAGTGCACGTCATTATTAGTAGTTGCTACTTCAAAATGAATACATATTTCAAACTTTATCTACTTGCATTTGCAAAATTGTGAATATAATAATAATAGTAATAATGTCAAATATATCAAACGAAGTACAATAATTCGCTTAATTCGCTTATTGATTAAAACTTATTCTTAAACTATAATTTTTAGTATAAATAGTTTTTCTGCAATTTATTATTATTGGAAGAAGTTTTTAGAAATATTTATCGTTGATTTAAGTGGGAAAATTTATACTTTTATGTCATACTGTTAAGAAGTATATGTTTTAAATTTGGTTAGTGATAAATATCCGAAAAACTAATATTTTTGACAACCCTGGTAATATATTAATATATGTCAGTTATATATTTCTGATATTAATCATGAAATGTAAAATTGTATGTAGGTATATTGCTATATTATGTTTTAGAACATGAAGTTTCCCCGCAAATTCTGAATACCTACAAAAATGCAAGAATTTGATAATAACTGATAAATGAATTCAGCGTTAATATTAATTACTGATCCAATACTTATTAAATTTGTACTAGTTTACTCAATATTACTTTTAATTGGCAATGCATTTGCATAATCCAAATCTCTTTGCACCGAGCAATCACGATAAAAGCAAACTGTACGATTCCTTTCTCTTACACATTTTTATGGTATAGAAAGAGCCTTGCACCTTTCCCATTTCTGACTAAATTTGCATGCACTTGATAGAATTCTACACACGGTTGCATTTTATGCCGTGTTATATCCTATTTATACCAACAATTCGCATTTTTATACAATATATCTTTAAACAATTTTAAAGCATAAAACACAATAAATAAATTATTGTGCAAGTTTACGGCTAGAGTGAATGTTAGTTTATGAACAGTTCATATAGGATATTTGTTTCTTAGCAAATTTAATGTTGTTAAATTTTAATTGTTTGCTGGAAAACAATTCCAGCATTAAAATGTTGCAATACCCATTGTTTTTCTTTACGATGTCGAGCTGTTATCAGTGGCTCAGAAATATACTAATAATCATCGAAAAAAACATTTACTTCTGTCTTGTATATCGGTATGCAGTACGGCAAAACCTTGGTGCATATTTTTACGACGGACCTGCACACCAAACGTACTGCATTTAACTTCAATTTATATGTATATCTGGGGCCGATTACGAGGCGTATGCTTTGTGCGAGAATCATTGGAGAAATAAACACACGGCAACCGTCGCTCGGACGTCAGTTCATTATACACCGCGACCAACGATATTATGATCTTGCGTTCGTAAATCATTACGAGTTTTAATTCAAGTTATGTTTTCCACACGAAATAAGTAGATGTCAGTTGAGTGTAAAGTGTGCAAAACAACATTGTGAACATCGCGACTGGTTATTAATATCAGGAACATCTAGTTATTACTTGAGTAAGTTTTAATTTATTCGCAAAATTGCTAATAATAATGCGTTTGCAATGTTTGTTGTTTTGAAACAGTGAAACACTTATTTTAATAGACATGGTTCAGTATGATTTTAATTCTTGTTAAAAACGTATCTAGTAAAATACTAAACGAATAGAATACCTCCACTAAAAGGTAATTGAAGGAATTTTTTTTTAATTTAAAACTTGCTAATGATTATTACGTGTTTACGTAACAAAGATTTATTATAATTAACATTAGAAATAAAAATTTAATGTGTAAGTGAAACAAAAAGATCTTTGTGTGTTTTTATTTGTAAATATAAAGAAACTAATGTGCAAACAAATAATAATTAGATACTACCAATTTAGTGCTGCGAAATGATGCTCATAACAAATGTGATTCACAAAACTCGTTGTTCGCTTGTTTACGATTCCTTTTTTCCGTGATAATTATCAAAATAAATCACACCGACATCCTGGCGCGAATAAACGAAAATTTGCGGTCATTAAGGAAGTTGCACTTCAAAAAGTTTATTTGCATAAGTTAAGTCCAGTTCGTTAAACCTTGTTCAACCAGTGTGAAATATTTACTTTAGAGTTTATCTAAAATTTGTGTACAATTGCCGAGTGCACTTTTGTGAGTGGTTAAATTGTTCGCACGTTTTTAACATAATCAAGGTATTTGCAATGAACATGTCAAAAATTACCTTCATGATATGATTACCTACATGCTATAAAATGTATTTTTAATTAACTATCGTCGTATCCATATTGCATTAGCTGTTGTTCATTTGTTGTCTCATACTTACTTGCATATTTGAGTGATAACATTTTTTGTTGTAGATATTTCTTCAAAATGTTTCCAATGTCACCTGTGGCAATAATTCTAATTGTGATGACAATGCCGATATCGCTCGTGCAAAGTGACTGCCGGAAAACATTCTTCTACCATCCGAAATATAATTACGGTTATGAAATCGTCTGCACGCGAACATCTAGCTTGGAATTATCAACAACTATGGCCAACAACGCTATTTCATTAAATATTGTCAACTCCAACATCACCTTCGAAAGTAAAACGTTAAAATACTTAAAGAAAATCCGTCAATTGAATATAACAAACACTGAAATTAGCTTCCTTAATCAAAACACAACCGCGTCAGATAACGATGGAAAAACCACCAACAACAAACCTATTAACATATTCAACGCATTAACTCATCTAGAAACACTAATTATACAACATTGTAATATCAAATCCAATGGCACACGGTACCTGCATGGCTTAGACAATCTTCTTACACTTAAACTGGACAATGACACGATCGAAAACTTTCCAGGTGACGCCTTTAAACAATTGGGGAATTTAAGAACTCTATCGTTAAACAACAACCGAATTAAACAAATTCAAGATCTTTCAATATGCAATCTTAAAAATTTACGAGAATTGCACCTGGGAAATAATTTGATTACAGAGCTGAAAAATGACGACATTAATTGTTTGAAACAATTGGAAGTTTTAAATCTGAGTGGTAATGCTTTGACCAAATTACATGGCATCGCATCGACAAGTTTAAAATATTTAAACGTGCCATCGAATCAAATTGTTCACATCGAAAAGATCGATGCGCCTAATCTAACCACGTTAGACCTGAGCGCAAACAAGTTGACAAACGTCAGCGCTAACGACTTCAAAGGTTTAAACAGTTTACAGAAAGTAGATTTGAGCAGGAATAATTTGTCCAGTGTGATTGTCACAAACAAAATGTTAATGTACTTGGATTTGAGTCATAACAGAATTGAAAGTATACCAAAACTTAATCTCAATGGATTGGCAAATATAAATTTAAGTTTTAATAATATTTCTCAAATTAATATTTCTGATATGTCAGGGATGAAAGGTTTAGAACATTTGGAAATCAGCAGTAATAATTTGTCTTACGTTGATCGTCAGAGTTTCGCTGAAATGGTTAATATTACTGTTCTAAACTTAAGTCAAAATAATTTAAGTAATATGACATTGTTGTTTGCAAAAATTCAACACTATCGGTGTTTAATATAAGCCACAACAACTTTAATGTGATTTCTAATGATTGGTTTACGAATCTCACAAAACTAAAACATTTTGACATATCTTTTAATAAATTGAAATCATTGAATGATTCTACTTTCAAGACGTTAGAGAATTTAGAAACGCTCAATATGTCTTACAATGCGTTAACACAATTAAGTTACAAATTATTAGAACCTCTAGAAAATTTGATTATCTTGGATGTTGATAATAATTTGTTGCAAGAACTTGACTACGGTTCAATTGTGAGTGAGTTGCCAAACTTGGACGCTTTTAAAGTGAAGAATAATTTGTTAACTTGTGAATTTTTAACCAAAATGATTCATTATTTTAAAGATAATGATATTACTTTTTCCCTAAATGAGCATTTGGATTATGATAAGGAGAATGTTGAAGGTATTTATTGTAAAGAGACACGAAATAAGTTGTTGGACATGAAGAAAACTCAAGAAGCATTGCAGAATAACACGAAAATGTTGAATGCTTTGTATGCGATGTATAGTCACGATGCTGCCGGAATTACAATGCATGGAAGTGCGTTTGAAGATGTTCACAGTTACACACTTTCGGGTGGTGAAATTATTACATGTATCCTATCTCTCATTAGTTTAGTAGTTGTTGTCACATTAGCAATACAGAGAGCTATGTTGTGGCATCGTAGAAAGAACTATTTAGTGGACGAATTGGAATTGATTACAAACGAGCCGTATAAGAGACTCGGATAAAATGATAAGTGATTTTTTTACTGTGAATTACCAAGTAACTTATCTTATATTCTATTTATATTACACCTAATTGTTATGCTACTGTTTTATGTGCTCTTTTGCCAAAAATAAATATTTTAAGAATTGTTGTACTTACTGAATTTGACCAAATTTTGTCCATTCACTTCTTTGTTTGACATTAGCAGGACTACATAAGCCAACACAAATTTTATCAATTCATTTGCCATTTTATATTGCTTAATGTACACACAGCATCAATTTTGGTTTCATTGATACGAGGGTTTGAAGTTTAGTTTCTGTTGGTAGTAATCTGACGTCGTCAACAACTTGACGATAACTGAAATCATCGAACATGTAACCGTTTATTAAATATACGAGTAGTAGTTATTCTTCATTATGGCAGACATTTCATTTTGATAATAAAGTACATACTTTTAGTCGAGGCACGCACGCGACCAACAAGAACTATTCACAGGACTAAATATGACAAATCAGAGTCTTTCCGATTATCAATTTTTTATGCTAAACACAAAATGTCCAAGTTAAATAAAGCTTTACTTGAATGCTTGTGGTTGATTTATAAATTCTATCGGTTTTATTGAAGCATTGTCATTATGAAAATTCTACCAACACTGATGATAAATATGTAGGAACAAAATTTTATCACAGGACCAGAATTTGTCATTAAATTATTTTTTTCTCGATCGTATAATAATGCATCAATGTGTTACCCAAGACTAAATCATTTATTTAAAGTAAAAGTGAATTTAGTTTTAAATAATTTTTGTGCAATGAACAAACTATTTTTTGATGTAATCAAATCGAATGTTAACATGTTTGCTTATTTACCAAAGGATAGATATGGTCGCCTTGCTTTACCGTATGTGCTATGCTTGTTCACGATCACGAAATATTGAATAATTTATGCGACATTTTTCCAGCTGTGGTGAGCTTTGATATTCCGATAGTTATAATTGCAATGAATTCACCCTTCAAATGAATAGATAGATAAAGGCGTTGCTTGTGTACATACATTTATCATATTCCTTTATAAACGAAAATGAAAGCATACGAGCACAGTATAATTGTACGTTTGACTATAATTTGATTAGTACATCTAATAGTTTATATGTAATTATTGTTATGCACGTTATTATTATTTATTTTTTAATTCTGAAATAATTCTGAATAACTGATGCCAATATTTCATTGTGTCTTTCGTGGATGACATATTAATCTATTCTACAGATTGAAAATGTGTAAAATGTCCTCCCACATCAACACAGTACCACAAAACGTTATTAGGGAATCATGAAAGTATAACTTTTGTTCAGTTATTTTTATTGCACAAAGTACATTTTCTGAAATAGTTCACAAAATGCGTCTTGTTATTTATTTCGTATTCCAATTATGAAAATCTTAAATTTATAGACTACCCAGAAATATTTTGGACCATTTATGTTAATACCTTTAAATATGTTATCAACTGTGTGAGTTATTTGATGGTTAATTTATATGCATACACTGGCGCAATCAGTAAATATTTTAACATTTGTTAAATAAAGCGAATACAAAACAACAAGTGGTATTTTACTTCACAGAAGTAGTTACAGTATATAATAAGCTATAACTTTAAGTCCAAACCATTACAGGGTTAATCTTCCAATATTCACCATGTCTGTTAATACTTCGTGTAAACGGCATATAAAAAATAAATATTTCGTATTTGGGTATTTCTTTGCAATATTACTTGTTAGATTTCGCTCGTCTTAAATTTAGATACAACTTAATTTATGTATGATAACTTTATGATTACTTCTTTAATGCAAAACTTGCGAATATTTGTACTTGTGTTTGTCCTCAGGTTTCTGATGCTTTTTACCAAACTTGATTAGCTTATCATGCGCTTGCTTTTTAGACTTATCGCCTTTGTATGCCTTGTGCTCTTCGACTTTATGTCCGGAAGCCTTTTTGGTTGCCTTTCCGTTTTTCTCCAGACTCTTCAGCGCCTGAAAATTAAAGAAAGACGTATTACCGTTGTTAGCTAATTGATACAAGGTTATATTTGACTTACAATTTTCTTTTTGAGTTCATTTTTGTCAAACTTTTCGTTATCGAATTTCGAGCGTTTCATTCCGTAGGTTTTCCAGTCGCCAGATTTTTTAGCATGCGAATAAAAGCTGTCATGTTGCTTATGTTCATTTTTGTGGTATTTTTCATGGAAACCCTATATAATTCAGATAAGTAAAAACAAAATGAAGTTGTTGTGGCTATATTTACCTTTAAAACATTAGTTTTCTTGTGCTTGGCAGCTTCAGCATGCTTCGCAGCGTGTTCTTGATGCGCGGCTGCTTTCTTGTGCGATTGGTGATTGCCCTCGCTCATCGAAGTAGTTTTCTTGAGCGCTTTTTCTTCGTCGGCGATCTTATGACTTATCGAACCGTGTTGACCTTTGTTCGCCGTTTCTACATGATGCTTTGCGTCTTTGCCGGATTTTTTGTGAGCTTTGTTTTCGACGTGTTTTCCTGCAGCGAGACAAAACAATATAATTAGGCACTTCAACATCCCTATAATTATCATCCCAATCTTGAATTGATCAGGGGAATAGAAAAAGAAGACAAACCTTGTTTGGAATGTTGGGAGTCTACAGCTACATGTTTGCTAATGTGGTGTGCAGGCTTCACTGTTGTGGAGTCAGCAATATATATGGTACATAGAACCACAATCTGAAAATATATCACAATAAAAACTATTTGTATTAAAACTTGTGACTTTAATATCAGTTAAAGTTAAAGAATTAGAATTCTATCAAAAGTTTGGATTAAAGTTAATAAAGGGGCATTCAATAAAAAACCCTTAGTTCTTAGAAGAAATTTGATTTTTATATAACAAATCTTGGGAATCAAATAATTAACTTTGCAAGACCTGCATTTGTTGAACTAGATGAGTAGGTATTGTTGTTTCAACTTGGCATTGAACATGAACGTCTATATTTGTGACTCGTTACATGCATAGTGGTCACCATGAGTTAAACATTTGGCAAAGTGTCAAAGCGTATTGCAAATCAATACACTAGTGGCAAGCACTTGTGAATTAATAGTGCAATAGTTAAATATGAAATATCGGTATCCGCCTGGCCATATGCCAATACTTATGTCACGCATTTTACTTCCTCTAATATTTTAACAAATACATTGACCTAATCGATTAGAATATAAATATGCCGAGTCTATCAGAGTAAGATCACAAACATAGTTGAAGTTGCGTAAGGTACAGAGCAAAACGACAGGTGACAACGCAATTAAATAGATGTATATCAAATGTTTTTCAATTGTTTTGTTGTAGGTAAGACTGTAAAACAGGTAGTACTCTAGTGAGGTTGTAAACTTTTCTGCTCGATGAATTTGTGTGTCAAGCGTTCCGTTCCTTTTTGCTCCATTCATTCATTCGCGTTCTTGTACACATTCTCGTATTTATACAACAAATTAATATGCGTATTACTGTGCACGAGAAATAATTTAACCGTTTATGCTATTTGGGTGTGCATGAACATTATATTTGCCCGCCGACAATTTCGATTGCAACTTGTAGCGTTGTTAATCTTTTAACAGCCATAAATCGCTTCCTTGTTTCTTGCATTATATGACTTTACTTAGACAGAGCAAATTCTCGACACGATTATGCAAAATGATCGCACAACCTAATTAAATCCGCAAATGTTACACAACAATTTCGTAAAGTTTTTGCTGCTGTTCGATAAACACTTCACCGTTAACTTACTTACAGTTTATTAGATTTGGTTGATTTGGTGGTTTATAAAAAAGAATATTTGCCAAATTTAATCAATTCGAAAATAAAAATGTAGGTTATAATTCAAACTTTTGTAGAATAAGATTAAATTCGAAAAACCAATAAATGTTGTGAGGTTCATAGGAAGTTTCTTTGTTTATTTTTACATTTGCGTTAAACCGATACACACTAACCGTATGTATAATTTCAAGAATCCGCAAATACACAGTCTCGAAAATACGTAATCATAACAAAACCACATCTGGTCGGGTGTTGGCGTTTCTATGATTGCGCATACTGAATTCAATTCAACTTTAGAATTATGCTTTTGTAAAGTGTGGCAATCTTTTGGTGAATATTGAATTAAGGGCAATTGGTACAAGTCTAGTTATTCCAACATAATGACAATTTCGCTTAGAAATAAAGTATTCAAGTATTTAAGTTGCAACAGTTATATAATGCACTAATAAATTATAAATTCAGTATTAATCAATATTACACCAAAGTTTACGCTATGAATATGAAATTGTTCAATTTGTCAAAGTTTTTACTTAACATATAATCATAACATAATTTTCACCTGGTTGAAAACATATGCTAAAGCTTTTAGTTTATATTTAGTATTTTATGATTGGTCAGTGTTGAGAGAAAACCGACCTAAAGCAATAAACTTTTATTTTATATGGGTTGCTTCAGATTTATAATTTGTGCTAACAATGATGTTTTACGACGGAACTTTGATTGTAATATGCATTAATCAAACAAATGTGCTCTTCACATGAAAATTTTGTAGTAACTTGACCATTTAATATGGTAATGATTACAGTTCATTAAGAATCACTGTAATGATTTGTTCGATTAGAAGCGTTTAAACGGCAAAAAAATAAAACTAATTAAATATTATTAATTTTGTAACTTTGTTATTAAATTTATACAATTGTAGGTATGTAGATAACTAAGCAATATTTTTAAAAAAGCCTTTTCAATATAATCACAAAATACTTAGCACATTAGTTGGAAGATATTCAATTAACACTTATTGTACCGTGATAATGCACTTTTAATTAATTTTTTACTCTTATTTACCTCTATCAAATGGCAAAGAATAAAACAGTTACTATGTTCCAGAAACTAAGCAAATGTGACGAGCAAATTAGTCAAATCGCTTGTAAACAGGAGTAGTAATCATTTGAAGCAGTTGAAATTTCTAGACCATCCAACGCAGTCTCATTATTACTCAATTACACAGAAACAAACTAGAATGTCACGAACCACTTAACTGTTTCGTGTTAAGAATTCTATGCCTGGTATAAAAACCGTCACGTAAATAAAAATATGAATGAAACGCATGAATATAATTTTTCTGTTGGATTCGACGTGAATTGAAATATGTGTCATGTTCGAATCAATTAAATATTTATACCGATTTTAATACTCCACAATTATTCCGAGTTCATTCGCATTCGTAATGTGTAAACTCATGTGATGTAATTAATTACTACGTGTACAATATAAAATCAGTATGCGTTGATTATTAAAGTGTTTCAGATTTTTATCTGAATCAAATAGATCTCAACACAATTCTAGTTTCAAGTCTAAATGATACATGCTATAATGTTTCAATGTTGCTAATAAAATGTGCAGTTGAAATCTAGTTTTACATGACCTATTAATTCAACCCGCAGTTTGCAATACTGCGCAGATTAAAATCGTATGATTAGAATGCGTAAATAGGTTGCTGCATTGTAATCGAATGAGTTTTTCATTTTTACGTAAATGTGTTGGTTTATTTACGATGTTATTTATAACCGAAAGAAAATATTATGACTTGGTTAATACATTAACCACAAAAAAAGTATATTTATAAAAATCTACCGACTTTATAATAAATTTTATATTAAGATGTAGGTGAAGATCTATGATCAAAGAATTTACCGAAATAAAAAGCAGAAACGATTGTCTTATTATTGAAACGTATATATTCGCATTGCCAAAATTAAACGTTTATAACAGCTCATAAATAAATTGCTAAAAATACTTCAATTCCGAAATACGCACGTTTATTCCAATTTCATTGAACTTTTCGTTTGGAATGCTACAGCTTATGCCCAAAATTTATTCTCAAGAATTAAAAATTCTTGTTTTTATTTTATTTTTAGATTGCAAAATAAAGTGAAAAATAACTTACCAGCAATACGGTGATCTTCATCTTGAAGCCACGGATAAAAAATGCCTACTGCAATCAGTTTCTAGGGCGATGGCGTTGCACGAATTCTAATCTCGCGTTCTTTCGTTCAGGTGAGCGATGGTCGACTGGTAACTGGTCGGCGGATCGGCCGATGGGCCCGTACCGTAACTGTTTCAAGATAGGTAGAAGCTGCGTGGTCTGAGCGTGGTTTTGACCAGCTCACGAGCGCGATCACGACTCACGTTCTTCGTCTTTGCCTTTGCTGTGCACACAAGTAACAAGTGCAGCGCCGACTGAGATGGTGCGTCGTGTACTTTGATCAAGGTGGCTAGCGGAGTCGGTAATCTGGTCTGATGATGCACACGTATACCAGTATGCTCTTCTTCGCTTCTTCGTTGCGGTGTGGTGTCGATGGTGCGTTCGCCTGTGGCTTTGAGGCAGAATTGCAGTGTGCACACACACGCGCTGGATTTGTGTGCCTGGCTCGGCGCCTTCCTCTCACCAGCTCACCTAAAACCAACCGGCATCGAAGCTTTGCTTGAATGCGGAGTGTGTGGGTACTTACACAAAGCTGGGCATCTGAGCGTTGGTTGGTGGGAGTGTGAGCACGAAATTAAAGGCCGGTAACACGGGCAGGTGCATCATTACGCTCTGATTTTACCCGCTGGATAATAGGAATGAAATTTATAGAATGTGGCGAGGCCGCGTCTCATTTATTGCTTTTTTGATGAAAGAAGTTAATTAGAAATGTATCACAAAGTTACAACTTTAATGAAAATATTACATACTTTACTCCGTACTTGAGTACACAATTAAACTATTAAAATTATAATTTTATATTTTTATGGGGTATTAGAAAATAATTGGATTTTGTACTGCAATTATTGAATAATTGATCTTTACACTACGTGTTTCTTTCCCTATTTTAATAATAACATCGACAATTTGCACATTTAATATTCAATATACATTTCCTGCATGCCAAAACCGCTATGTCTAATCGAATATTCTCTAAACTGCGGTTTAAAATATTGATTGATTACTATTAGAAAGAATATTTATCAATATAAAGAATTATTTGATAGGCTAATATTCGTCAACTAAATTTAACCATAACTCTAAGAATTAAGTTCAAATATACTTGGATTAAGGGCAGCTTGTTTTATTAACAACTCAAAATAATTAATCCATATTACACATTGCTGCATTGATAAAGAACGGATGTAATATTTGCATGTTATTTTCTTCTTTTACTATTAATTGAAAATTTATGTAAGAAACGCAGTTTGTGCAACTGGCACATTAATAATAATTTGTGTAATGTCATGATTTGTGTTCTATTTACCATCATTATATAATTAGTGTCAATAAAATAAATAAATATTTTATTTATTGCTGAAGAAGCACGCTTTTGTGGTCAGAATAAAACAAAATATAAGTACAAGTAAAATAAACGCAATTTTATTCACGTAATTTAGTTACATTGTAATAGTAAATGTATACCTACATTTGTACTTCAACGATTATGTCATTACTCTGCAACTGTATAATTAGTCAAGCTGATTTGTACACAAATTGATTAACATTTTAATTAACTAATACATTTCTAAATATGCCTATGTTTTGCGAAAATTTATTTCGCCTTAGTTTCGAACTCCACATTTTTAATATTCATATAAAGAACCTTATGCAACCAACTATGCACCTAAAGTTATAGTTTTTCTTTTGTGGGCTATCATACTATATTAATACAATATAATTCAATGGAAATTATTTTAAGGTAAGTATTTCGTTGTTTTTAAAGATATCTAGCAAATGCTGTTGAAAGAAACAAAATGCATTTAAACGCTCTGAAGCGCAGAGCGTTGCGTTCAATCAACTATAACTGTGTGAGTTTACAACTTCACGTAAAACCAATCTGGACTTTTTCTCTTCTTTACAAGAGATTTCTAAGATTTCGGCTAAACAGAGCGCCAAATCACTTTCGTTCGTTACGCGATTTGTATTGTTGGTGGGAACAATCGATATATAAATCAGTTTCAAAATAGTTTTGTCGCAATTATTGAGTGACTTGAAAGGTGATACACTGTAAAACAAACGTTTAAAGCGCGTATTAATAATGCTTCTATTTAGAAGCAATAAGATATTTAAGGTATGTTTAGTTATTGTATCAAAACTAATAGATAATTTATTATTATGTTTTTAGTTATTTCTAGTATTCGCATTTTTGAGTTGTTCCTTGGCGCAACACTATGAAGGAGAATACGACGATGACGATCATTCATCCTACGAGTCAGAATCTGATGAACCAGACTATTCTAAATACTACGCAGGAGATGGTGGCGGATCAGCGGCTGCTTTGATAGATGTAAAAAATAATAACGGATTTGTTAATCCGGCAGAATTCTCTTCCTTCTTTAGCGCTCCATTCTATGCCGCTTCTAATAATCAGGAAATAACTAAAGACACAAACAATGGTCAGAATGGTTTTGTAAATTCTCAAGATTTCCAAGCTGGCTTTGCTGATTTTAAAGCGTTGCCGTTTGGCGGCAAAGATTTCTTTGAACAAGCTGCGCAGAAACAGATTGAGAAAACAAATAAACCCGAAACAAATGACTATTACGAATTGAAACCTGGCCCGAGCTATGTCTCGCACAAAATTGTCCCACCAGCCCCGAAAAAATCGAAATACGCGTCGGAACTTGAAGATCTAAACAAGCCATATAATCATAAAAATATAGAAAACCAAGATGACAAAGTGATCCCTCTATATTCCGGCGCTAAACAAAAGATTGTCGATCCGAAGTATGTGCCTCAGTACACTCCCAAAAACCAGAATAATTTAACTCCGTACCAAAAGTACAGCTTCCAAACGCAGCCTGCCACCCTCTCAACTTTTGCATCAGCTTCCACAGGAAAGCTGACCACGACGCCCACCTATGCAAATTATGACTATTTGTATACCCCCAGTACCAATAACGAATACAAATTAGCGTACGATGCGGCCGCGACTAACCTTAATTCAAAATTACAGGACTTCAATAACTTCAAACCGTCTCAGCTCATCAAAGAATGCAAGAAGATTAACAAGCATGTACCTGGCACCAAGAAAAACTCAAAACCCATGGACTGCTACGTCTGTAAAGACGCCAAAGGTATAAGCTATGAAGAATGTTTCTATGGGCAAGCATCTGAATCCAATCCGAAAAACTATTACATCGAGACATCAAAAGAATACAGTGAGCCAACCCAGGTGCAAAGCTACAATTTTAACCGTTATAAGCGTTACACCGTCAGTGATAACAGCAAAGACGATCCCTACGAGTATCTGAAGAAACAGTCAGAGAAATATTATCACAGCCCCGATTTTGATTCAAGCTACAAACATCCAAAAAGTTTCGAAGAAGACTACAGATATGGTGGGGGTGATGGCGAGGAAAAGAGTTCTTCGGAGCAGATCGCTGATCAACTTGTCAAATCGGGTGATAATTGTAGGAAAGTTAACAAGGATGGTATGACATGTACGATTTGTGAAAACAAGAAAACGGGCGGTAATTACGAGCAATGCTCTTATTCCTCGGCTCCTGAAGAGAAAAAATATGCGTATTCTAAGCAGCGTAAGTACAATCGTGAAGATGAACCTACAGAAGAAACAGACAGTACTGAGGAACAACCTGTTAGTAATAAGAAACCGCAACAGTTTTACAAACCTAAAAGTGAAAGTCCACGAAAACAAAAATCGCCACAAAAATATCGTGGAGTTAGACCGAATGCTGATAGTTATGAAAACACTGATGAGGTTGAAAGAATCAAACCAGTTAACACCAACCGCCAAGTCTCTGAATATACAGTACCTAAACATTTTGCCAATATTAATGTATCACCTGAAAGCGCTGAAAGTGAAGAAGACCAGCCAGAAAATGAAGAATATTATTATATAATACCTTCACAAACATCTGAATCAAAACGTGATGAGCAAAAACAAGATGTTGATCATGAATCTGCCGAAGAAGAAGATGCCGAACCTGAAACGCACTATGGGTACTACGGTGAAGAAAGCAAGAAAGACGTGGAAGAAGTACTAGCTGAGTTTGCTAAGAAAGATCGCTCCAAATGTAAAAAAGCCGAAAAGAATGGCATGACTTGTTATTTGTGCATAGACAAAAAAGGTTTGCAACATGAAGAATGCATGTACGTGTCAGAGTCGCGACCACAATCTAAATATCAAGCGTATCATGCACAGAAAGAAACTGACGGACGCGAAGGTGCCGAACCAAAAACTCGCAGAAACGAGGAAAACGCAGAAGAAAGTAAAGTGAAATCAGTGCGAACCAGTCGGTCGGAACCGCGATTAGTTGATATAAAATATCCTGCATTTGGCGAGAGTACTACCGAAAGTCTAGAACCACAAAGACGGAGGCGGCCAAAAAAAGCTGTCGATGCTAATCAGAAGCAAAAAGATAAAACCAAATCGAGAATATCGAGGAGAAATTACAGCGAGAGATTGGATGACACTCCTGTAGATGAGAGCAAGGATGAGTATAGAGTGGAAGGAGAGAAAGGAGCATTCAGTCATGAGACTGAGCCTGTTTTCAGTAAGAAGTATGGCGTTACTTTACCGAAGTTTATGTTGACTAGGTCGGAGGGCGAGAAGGTTTACGATGAATTTGTGCAATCAAAATCTTAAATTTGTTTTTGATTCTTATTTTCTTATAGTTGTTATCAGTTGTTTTATGTATAAAAATCCGTTGTACTACGGCAGCGTTATATTGTTATTTGTTTTTTGAATTTGTCGCAATTAGTATATGGTTTTACTTGCAAATTATTTCGTTTGACTGTCATAACGTGGCCAAATTCTACGCCAAATATTTTGCGACCATTTCTATTTAATACTTTGTTGATAGTGAATATACGTTAATACTGTATGTAAACCAAATATGCACTAAGTACGGTATTAAACGGACATAAATAAATGACGATAAATTTATCCGTACATAAGCTGCAGCATTTAATTTCCTTCTTGTCCACAAATCATTATAAATTCAAAACCGAAACTATTTTTTTTTGCCGGAAACCAAAACCAAAATTTCTAAAATATTTTCAGAGCTTAAAGGAAGAGAATGCTCTTTCTTAAATTAAGGAAAAGTCTTGATTTCGGGATGTTGTAATAAGCATTTAAAAATATACAAGTATTACAATTAATTATAATTCAATCATCATTGTAATCATAATCATAAAATTGCTCATAATCATCATGAATTTCTGATATAATACGCAATCATAACTCATATTAATAATTCATTTGCATTAATCAATTATTACTTATCGTCGTTCAATTGTTACGATAATACTTACAATACCGTGACGGCTCTGATAAGTGGGCCATCTTCTTTGGTATAATTTATTACACATTTTAATTATACAAAAAAGTCATTGTCATCATGTACACTCAAATGATTTTAGTTATTTCATCGTAGTGCCATTCTATATCTTTGTTTAAAATCAATATGAACTATACAATAATTTACAATATTGATTTCGAAAAAATATTGAACGAATTTATCCAAATGTAATTTCAGCATGCAAGAAAAATTGCAATTAATTGCAAAGTTAACCAGGAAATAATCGTTTTTGCTAAATACAATTTTCAATTCTAACAAATGCGATAATTTCAATTAATTGTATACTATATAAAAATATCAACGGTCTTATTTTGAATTAAAATTTGTCCTATAATTTTCTCGTTTGCATCTTTGTAAAACTTGCAATTTTTCTTGGTTCCTGCTATAATTTTGACCAGTTTTGATCATTAGTACGATTTCATCTGTGACTAGTAAACAGATTCCTTAATACCTTCTTACATTTGCGCCTGTGTTGTTTCCATTTGATTCATTTAAATAACTATTACATTATTTCAATTTTCACATTCTTTCAATGCAACTATTGTAAAATTAACAAATAATTTACAATTTACAAAAATTTATAAATTAAAGAACAATTAATCGAATTTTAATCGAATCAAAACTTATTTGCTTTTTGTGCTAAATGTATAAATGTATCCATCGTATCATCATTAAGGTGCTGAGTTCATGTGCCATTTGCTTTGCTAGATATTTTTCTCATTTCTCAATCAGGTTATTACTAGTAAGGTAATTGGCTAATTATATTTCGTATTTTCATCATTTAATTACTCTTTATATTAGATATATTTCTTTGGTGTGCTCTTAATCAACTAAACAAATAAACGTTTTGTTGCTTTCTCGTACGTTTGTGATCACGCATCTAATTAAAAACAAATCTTAAAACATTAATACTAAATTAAAATCAAGTACATAGCAATTTATAAGTACAGAGTACGATATCAAAATAAAAAAAGATTGTAAAAAATATTGTCATTGGATAAATAAAATAAAAAGTATTTCTTTGAATTGTAATAAGAAGATTACGCTTATAAATATAAGTATAAATAAAGTTTAACAACAAAATTAGTTCGTTTGATTCAAAATTTGAGACCATTAGACGTTCTTACAAATATTAAAAGAAAATAAATGTTGTTAATGAAAATAATGTATAGTAATGCAAGTCTTGCGAAGGTCTTCGATACATGTAATGCGTTTGTATACATTACATTTCTCACTGTGTATGAACTCCTGAACTCCATATAGATTTATTTAAACTAAAGTTGCACTAAGAACGAGTCCACAACTGGTCATTGATAACTATGCCAATGGTACATAAATTTTACATTGTTTCATTGCAAATTATCATAAATTACTTAATTGCTAAATCTATTTGTATAATAGTCTCTTGATTAATTTTTACATGTGAACTCTCGGTGCACTTTATTTGCAGTTCGTCTTTTTGGCTTCTAATTTGTCATTTCGTGCCACTGAACTGCGCCAACTTTAAGCCCGCTTTAAGATTCGCGTACATTGGACGGTTCCATCTTCGACCACAAGTGATTAAGATCCGAATTGAAGATGACGGCCTCTTCGCCCTTCTGGCATGCGCTGCCGCTCTCCGTTGGCGAATTGGCCGAAGCCAACGAGTTAGCACGAGTTGCCGCCAGTGGGGATCGACTGCTCTGCTCCGACCCGGGGGCGGCAGTAGTGTTTACCGAGTTGCTCGTATTTACAATCGTGGGATCGTTGTTTGTATAGTAATATGTATCTGCAAAGAAAAAAAACATTAATATAACAATTTATTGGTAGTATTAAAAAAACTACATGGTTTGAGAGGAAGTAGGTAAAACTGCAAAACATTTTAAAGTGTTGAATTTGTCATAATTTAATATTTAGAGTAAATATGGGAGATGTTAAAAATTGATGTATGTTAAGTTGCCTATAGTCAAACTCAGATTTAAATAAAATCCTAATGAAACCCATTGAAAATGAATACTTTAAAATGATTTGTTGCAAAAACTGGTTGGCACGCGACGAATATACTCACTGTTTACTTACTGAGCAACCCGCTGGATGCGCTTCCATATCCGTATGCAGTGCCATAAGCCGCCCCATATTGACTGTATGCTGTGCTGTAAGCATAATCCGATCCAGGCACTACCGTACTTCCTGTAAAAACACAACAAACCATTATATATCAAAACATGCTCGAATGATATACAAACTTATGTTTTATAAGTAATTAACTCGTTCATATTATACCTGTGGTGTAACCAAAACTAGGTAACATCGCCGAATAATGCTGAGTACCGTTTGAGGGCTGAAGGACAGTAAGTGCGGCGGGATCTGGTGATCCCGTATGAGAGGTGGGTTGGCTTCCTGGCTCGGCCGGCAGCGTGAGCGGCAAACCGGGAGAGGAGCCGTCCACACCCGAGCCCAAGCCCACAACACCACTGTACGCCGTTGTCGTTTCTGTTCATCGTAACATCATCATGCACGCCAAGCCAACACGTCAACGAAACAGGCAAAAACAAACGGAAAAAGAGAAACCAAATTAATTTCAAGCAACAAAAACACAATCACATTAAATTAAATGAAAACAATGCAAATTACAATACTAAAACTTGATTAGTTTTCAATTATACACAAGGCTTAAAACAAACACAATATTGTGTGTTAACTAAATGTATGATCACAAGTTTAATTAGCAATTGAGAAAATAAATATCAGCGCTTGTTTTTAAGAGTAAGATGTAAAAGTTGTCGTGTTTGGGTCAAGAAAAATATTATACGTTGTATTTAATAATAAGAAATATTTAAATTAAAATATTAATTTTATTCAGCATCTATATTCCAAGCTATAGTCATGTAATGCGTCTATCGGTATGTATCGTGCTTAATTACGGTGAGAATTTTCGTGTCGGAAGGACAGATGCAAGATAGTTTAATGTGCGTTTTATAAAGATGGGATGTCCCAGAGGCGCGATTGAATTGAGTTTCGCTAATTGCGACCGCAAACAACGCCAGCAACGCGTCAATGCCAAATGATGCAATTCCGAGTCAAACAGATATGAAAAAAATAAAGTTGGAAGCGAACCCATTCGGATAAATAAAAATTGCACAGTGTGGCGTCGCGCGAATACAATGGCAGTCATTAAACGTGCGAAAATGGGTGTTGTTAAGGTATTATTTTGTTCCACGGCGTTGTTAATGCGCTTCATGCTGCTGTTTGATTTTATGATAATTGACATGCAGTTTTGTTCAATGACAAACTTCGAATTTACGTTTTTTAAATAAATAAGCAAATTAGCGGCCAAGTCAAACATACAAATATTCTACATGAATGCCAAAAACTAGTTTTAATTTGTGAGTACATACCTAACGATCCAGTCAAAGGTGGCGTGTACAAATTTTGTGAATTTGCCTGACTCATGGTGTTAATCGAATCGTAGATGTCGGCTGCCGAGCTAGCGACTCCGACGCCTGGAAAACTAGCGTGCGTGTCGTAGTATCCCGTCTGGCCCGGTTGGTTGCCCGTACCACCCAGTTCTGATAGCAGTTTGTGTTCGTCTTTAATGCTCCACTTACTGGACCACAACTGCAAGAAATCAAACGTTTAGTTTTCGAACAATCCAAAAAAGAGATGATGTTGACATATGCGATTGTAAGTTTTCAATGTTCAAAAACTTACATTCGAGTAGAGCTGATCGCCATTGTAGTGCGATCTCTGTCGTTTCAAATCATCCTCCGGATGTCCGTTGATATCTCTATTTTCATCTGCAAACAAACAAAATGTTACCGTTAAAGACCACATGCAAAAAGCAACATTAAATGTGTTTGTTATGCAAAAACGCATTAAGTGTGATTTGAAATATTTTGCAATAAAATGTCCATATGTCAATGTAATGCGAACAAAATTATCATTTTTCTGCTCAACGAAGAGGACAAAATTAATGTAATAAATCGCTACAATCAGTTGAGACGTAAAATCTGCACTCATAGAGTGCTATAGGAAAGCCCCATATGTCCCTCATCTTCCATGTTCATAAATCATGCCGCGTATAGAGTGATGACAAGTATTCGAGATGGCTTCATTTTATCAAGACCCCAAAACTAGAGTATCTGTTAATATTCAATCATCCAACATAAATATACTTCACATTAAAGAAAAAAATATTAATTCAGTAGAATAATTCGCTAGTATACAGACCAGTACATCAATTAAAATCTAAATAAAAGTTTTGAAAATTGAAACACCTAGTCTAAGTTAAGCTAATGTTCCGAGTCAGATGGAAGTGAAGTGCCTCTGTAAACATTGCTTGCCGTACACAATGGAGCAATGCCTCAACACATAGGTGCAGCAGCATGGTCGAGCTGGTCGATTAGGGCCTCGCGTATCGTCTCATCTCTCATCCGCGTTACGTCATTGTTCAGTGATTAATTGCGAGCGCAACTAATACCAAGCAAACAAGAACACCGTCCGCAGATATTTCATAAGTCGAATAAACCTAGCTCTCTCTAAATCTAGCCGACAACAGTCCGCCTCTTAGCAAAAATAGTTTCCATTTGCTGTGCTTGATAGTTAATTTCAAGAGAATAAATGTCCCGACCGGCGTGGCCACAATGACCACTGAGAGAACCTTCTGAGATCGTCTTAACTATTCCTAACTCTTCGTTGTAAGCATTGTTTCTGTATTCCACAAAGGATTGCGAAGGACACTTGTGGGGACCCACAAAGTTAGCTATAGTTCGAAAATGACCGGAAGGTGATGAAGAGAATTCTAGGTTGCGCCTGTTCTAAGAACTAAAGATGTATGATGCAACCCTTTTAACTAAGTATAAAAACAACCTTTGGCGTAGCTTATTTAACTATTTAATGCAATAATATGATGAATAAAAACTGATTCGGTGTTACATTTGAAAAACGTGCAATTTCATTGGAGCTGTGCAGTTGAATTCCAGCGGGAATATCATATATCACAAAATCTCTATTACTATTTATTGCCTATAGGCAGTGTTACCAGCAAACGCAATAACGATTTTGTATTCATTCCCGCCGTAATTTCGGACCTATATTGATGTATATTTTGCGTATTGTTGTGTTTGTGTTTCGGTGATGTTGGTTTAGTGGATGTCGCGATGTGGGTGATACACGCTCGAATGCTGGATTTCATAGACAATAGAGACAAAGCCGTTTTAACCCACTAACGAGAATCGGCACGGATATATTGAAATATTCATTAAAATCACGATCATGTGGCATTTCCATATATACGGACCTCGGGAATTTGCGCATGTAACATTTACAATTACAATTGATTCGCCAGCCATTTTTATATATTTCTATACAAATTGTTGGAAGAGATTTTTGATCAATTGTATATATATTTAACCAATGACTAAAAATATATTAACTGTGCAATGGTAAAGTTGTAATGGTAATGGTAATAATGTTATAAATCTAATAGAGGTGTCATAAATTGACTTAATCGAACATAAAAATAATTTGAACATTCGGACATTTAATGATTTTTTTTTGTTGGACATATTTCGATCATTTTTAAACCTACACCAGTCCATAATCCCATTATTCCATTTGATGTGATTTTATGTTTCATCAAGGCATTGTATGCCGAGATTTCCTTTTCTGGCATGCGCGCGTGATGCAGACGTATGCGCGGAATTGAATTCGCATCAATTCGAGAGTACATCAAATGGGGAAATGGGGTTGGCTTCGAATGGTCAACACTAACATAACAATGCCTCTGCGACTTAACATTACAACCCCATTGAAATCAACACCAAATGTTACACGAATTCACATGTTAGAGTATAATTTTGCAATAAACATTCGACCCTAAAGCTTGTCCAGTTAATTTAAAAACTGGATAAATAATAAATATAATCCAAAATTAATACTTTTTATGATTCTATTGGAATGTAAAAGTATATTTCAATACTACAAGCAGTATAGTCGATTTATTTTCGCAACGTTACCAACCCTAGTGCGTTATAATGCCCGACTACAACCGGGCAGCCCTAATAGCAACCTTCCACTAAAATCGCAACAACAGTTTCGACCGGATTCGGCAAGAGTGAGATAGCGACGCGGAGTCACTCAATTCCCAATGGACCAGTCAATATAATCGCAATAACGCAACCCCTAAACCACCCCAAATTCCGATCATCCTCTCGTAGTAGGCAATGCTGAGTGTCGACCTTAAGCCGACACTAAATTATAAGCCTGCGAGCATGATAGACTTATCACCTTTTCAGTATTTGAAAAAGAGTAGTTTTATCGTTTACTTTATTGAAACGAATAGTCTGCTGTTTTTGTACTGAACTGTGGAATATTTTATTCGATTGTGTTCGGTCTAGATATTGAACAATGTTAGTTTGTGATCTCTCAATAGATTGGAATGGATCCCGTGGGGCCGGCTGGCCAGTATTCCAACATCATCCGATTTCCACCGCGTCCATGCTCCGCGCCGACCTGGGTGCACAATACAGCGGCACCAAACCAATTAAAATCAACAAGCCGCGTTGTTTCCTCTATGCTAAATAGAATCAGTTGGAATTGCCAGTTTTTGCAATTCTTCTTACTGATATAACCTCAAAATATCAAATTTTAAATTACAAACACATAAAAGATATTTTTTCTCTGTCTCGTAATTTTTCCCTATTCTATTGATGTTTATATCAGTTACAAACGTTTATAACATTAAGGGTCCATTTTTTGCTCTCTGTCGGAGTGTGACGCAACTTCATTATAATAATATCTATTGTAGCAATGTTAGAGTCAGATGAACAACAACAAGTTGCGAACACATGCACCATTATTATACTTCACGGATAGTGAGCACTCTCCTTTCTTGTTTCGGTTGCTACTCGGGGGTTAGCGTTAGATGCATGGTCACCCTTTGCTCTACGCACGGGTTTATAGTAATGGCTTTTTATAGAAAGTTATACGATATTATAAAACCGATTTCTGTATGTATATATGTATGAGCAGTGTTGGAAAGTCGCAGGACCGTGAGATTTATATGAATTTCTATTTTGACAATTTGATACGGCAATTTAAGGGTGTTATTTATGGTATACACTTTTTAATTGAACACCACGAGGGATATTATGAAATTATATAAACATATTCTTGTACTTGAATAATATTCACGTATGGTGTGTGTATGATGTCACAATGAAGTTGGGATTTGATGTAGCCGCCAAGGTTGCAGGGAAAATCGCACAATGAAGGCCCAGTTTAGTTCGGAACTAGTGAAACGGAAGCCCGCCAACGGAGTTTGCGAGAAAGGCGAGCGACACAAGCGCCATCAGCGAGTTAATTAATGAATCAAAGAGAATTGTTATAGCGAGCAGCAGCAGCTTCACGGGCGAAACGTTTATGGTTCCGGAAGTTCGGTTCCGGCATCCGCGGACTTGTGAAATACATTCAAACCCTTGCCAGCAGTGCAAAACTACACCATCCAGTCCTTCAAAACCCTTCACGCTGTTTGCCACAAACGCATTGTGTCAACAGTCAACACTTTGTACTCCAACTTCAATCCGTACAGCTTTAAAATCAACTAAGAATTTTACATGAACGTATTTTGCATGGAAACAAAGCATGTGTGTTTTTCTTTTCTTTTCCTGTTATTTTTACGACTTATTTGTAGGTATAGTGTATGGCAATATTTTTTACATGGCAAGTATGAAAGAATATTGTGTGTTTTTCGCGCCGTTGGTGTGTATGTGTATGCATGTGCATTCATTCGTTCGAGGAAAATATGGCGCGACCGGGATGAATTTTCGTCGTTACGAGCGTGAAACGAGCGAGCGCCGCCGCCGCTGGCTGTCTGCGCGAGCAGCGAGCGTTCACCAGCGGGGGCTGTTTCACCCCCTGACCAATCAGCGCGGATGCGGTTTATGAAGACATCAAGCTCGTTGCTTAGCGACCGCAGCGATTCCCCCTGGCTTCAAAGCGGAGAGTATCCGAAACCATCGCCACCCCACACCCACCGCCACCACTGCCGTATTACGTCTACCGCCACCACCGCCTCCACAGATTGTATCTCAACATAATACACAATTTTATCGCACTCGACGATTTTTTCCCCAGCAACATCCATTCATCCAATTCTCTAGTTTTAAATAATTTGTAAGATAAAAATTTGATAAACCACAATTAGTCTCTATTAAATGGAGGTATTTGAATGGGAGCGGCAATTAACGGAAGGTTTTCAGTAGTTAGTTTCCGTTTGTGGAGTGGAGTGGAGTGGCAGGCGTGAATGATGAAGGCGTCCGCGCGTTTTCGTTAATTTACCTTTTCACTAATGCGTTCGCGCTCGCCGAGCGTCTAAATAGCGACGCCGCCGCCACCGAGAGAATCGCGCCACTATGTTCTAGCGATACCGTGACGCGCGCGCGAAGTTGTCGCCGTCGGAGAGATCTCATGCATCGATAAAATAGCGAAAAGCGATGATTATTAGCTGTGCGCCCATGACACGCCGCATATTTCATACTTGGAGCCCTCAGTTGGCGCTTTTAATAGTTTAAGTTTAAGTTTGCGCGCAGTTCGAAAGTGTTGAAGTTGTTGGAACCGTTAGTTGGAAAAGTTTAAGCCCACCTAAAAGAAAAACGACGTTTTTCGCGATGATTTATTACTAGAACAGTTGCGCGTTGATTTTTGTAGCTGGCACGAGCGCTTTAATAAATATTCATTAATATATAATTTAATGGATTGTTGAGCATACGCGCCAGTGCGAAAACTGACCGAAGGCGTTGACGAAAACGTTCGTGAAAACGTCCATGCCTACATCTAACCGTTGTAACAATATTTTCGAGTGTATTGTTCGCATTTGAATGGTACACTTACCGTGATCCTCGATTCGTTTCCGCTTAATGCTATTGCCATTCGGATCGTGCTGCAGTCCCAGAATGCCATTGATGCTATAAGCGCCCGAACGAGGTTCGCTGAGTTGAGTGGCTGGCGCGTGAGCGATGACCGACACTGGGCCGCCGCTCGGCGGCGTTCCGGTGCCGCCTCCGCCCGTATTCGTGCCGCCGCCACCACCGCCGCCGCCGCTCGTTGCAATGTGGTGTGCGTGCTTCGCCTTCTCCGCTGCCTTATTCCTTACGATCCTACAAAACAAACAAACAAGACGCGTTTTAATAATTGCGAACAATGGCGTCCGCCAACACCACTGATTCTCTGACAAACATGCAAACTTTGGTTTTAACAAAACATAAAGTGTACATAATGGTCGGACGCGCCGAGCATTAAAGGAATACAGTTATAAGTACTTTTAATTCCGACATCTTTGAGATTTACCTACTAGTGGCGGCTGAAAGTTGAAGCAGCTTTCAGTCTATAAAAGTCAACAGCACAACAAATCCCAGATATGTTGACAATGCGGCCCAGTCATTCAACAAACAATCCCGAAAAGATTACAATAGTTTAGGTCGATGGTTATACTTATTATTATACAGGTAGCATACGCTCCCATAAGCCTGATAATAAATATAAGTAGGTCTCGCCTATTATGAGAATGGTATATCGTTTTAATGGTCAGCAGTCATTGAAACTAGGGAGTCATATACCCATAGTACACAAATGAAGTCCTTCAGTAAAATCGGTAGTACACCCAGATTTTGGGACGGAAGCTTTTGGATTGCGGTAGTTAAGGACAGCTGGAGCCAGAGACCCCGAAGGAAACCCTCTGAAAACCGTTTTGTTTGTCTGCTTGTTGTTTGTGCTATTATTGTTGTACCTATTCGAGTGGAGTCCATAAGTGCTACCAGTCTATTAAAATGAAATCCCAACATCACCCCATATACAGGATGTAGCAAATTGAAAAATTCATTAAAAATTTATAATAAGACAACTCAAGTAAAATGGTAGGCAATAAAATTTTGTTTAAAGTACTTAGGCGATTTATATTATAATTTAAAATATTTAAACACCCTGTATAATTTGTTTTGAAACGTGCGTAGCTTTTCCCCTTGATGCGCTTTTTTGTTGTCGATAATGAATCGAAATAAATTTAAAGGTAAACTTATTATGTGAGCATCCAAATAAAGTGTTTTGAATAACTCCACAGGGGGTTAGTGCGAAAAGTGACACAAAGCCGCCACCTCGACGCGCATAAACTTCCTGTATCTCATACACACCTATATTTGCGAAGCGACTACCAATATTAAACTTTTTGTTCACTGTACGGATTCGTTACCATGCACAAAATGATCTCCGTGGTCGATCAAGGAAGTCTGCTTTCAACAAACCTCCACCGTATTTCTTACAATGTACAACACAAGAGTTTAATCTAATTAGTTTAAGATGTGCCCGCAGCGCATATGAATTACACCCTTTGCTAATAAGAGGAATCAATTTCGTAGCGCTTTATCCTTTTAATTTGGAGCTATCTACGTTATTGTTGTTTTCGCCAGCTCCCTACGCGACTATTTGTCACAGACGAATCAATCTGGGTAACAGATATACACGGAAAACATCACCCCCAATGCAATTTTGAGTTGTCGCGAGAAAGAGAATGCACACAATCCCCAGAGGTGTTTTTGATTATCATCAGTCGAGTGAATCTTTTGACTCGCCGCTTGGTACATTTTGCTAATGCTATCGATTCAAGTAAGTACTGATCTGAACAAAAGAAACACAATGTGAACATATTGAAGTAGCTCTTAGGCGACATATGGATATAAATAATTTTTAGAAAATAATTAACAAAATATTGAAATTTTATGCACTTGATCGATATTATTTTAACTTAAACTATTATTATGCCGTTATAATGGTATTAAATTCGGTTAACACAAAATGCCACTTTAAAAGTGTGCTGTTTGCCGACACGTGTTGCGATGTTGAGGGGGTGCGTGTGCAGTGCACGCGACCACGCCGCTCTTCGGAACATGCGATTGTTGCTGGCGTAAGCATAATGATCATCATCATCGCTATAGTAACCCAACGTTACAGCGAACTGAAATGAATCAGTATGCAATTCCACATTGCAATTCGTCTCGATATTGTCGCTCTATACGTTTGTAATGCACTCGAACGTCTGCATAAAAGCGTGCGAACGCCGCGAAGTAATCTCCTTTAGCCTAGCAAGTTGGAATACTCACGACGATTCGACGCACTTGGTCGAGCTTCGGCTTCATTCAAAGTTACACGGATGTTCAAAACGTATATCGTGTTAATATACTTTTTATTCGATTTACTTTTGGATATGCTCTAGGTGAAAAGTGATTTTTTCATTATTAACTGACCATATATTTAATAATTTCAAAGTAAAACACATAGAAATTTTGTTGTTGTTCTGTTTATTCATTCTTGCTGGCGGTTTTCCTACTCATGTAATATAAGAAATCATATAGAATATGCATCAAGAGATGTTGATGTGTGTGGTGTAAACATCAATTGACTAAAAGGGCAACTCCAAACCCCTACGCAACAAAAAATATAATCGGCCATCAAACAAAGTTCGTTTGCAACTGGAGCGGCACATCCGATGGGAAAGCGTAATGTGGGGAGCAATGAAAAATGAAGCTGCCATCAGAAATTTATACGAAATTGCTAAGCTATGGATGGCACGCGACCACAATTCGCGACGTCACTCAGTCACGTGCCGGGCGCCCACAACACGGTCGAAAATATATTGGACAAACCACCCTCTCAAAAAACAATATCTCACTATCCTCGCAAGCGCAGTACAATACAGACCACAAAGTGAGATTGGATAAGAATTTATAATTAGACAATGTATCATACATTTGCTCGTTTTGTTTAAAATTTTGAACTGATGTTAAATTTGGTATAAATTTTAAGTGTGAATATTCTCGGATAAACACTACCCTAATACAGAAAAAGCACAGATGCTTTCGGTTACTTACATACAATTATTTCCATCATTTTGCACTTCACCAACCCTCCTTTAGGGAAAATCCAACAAGACCGACAAACCAGATAGAATACTTGAAAAGAAACTGCAGCGGGTCGGATAAATAAGATGCATCGATGCGAATGGCGTAAGTAATGCCACTTTAAGCAATTTCATATCACACAGCACAAATATCGTTTGGCCTGACGCGCCGACGGAGGGTTGACTGCGCCCTTGTACTTATTCGAACACTTAATCTAATCATAATCATTTCGCAACACCCACCGCAGCAGAAAATAAATGCACTAACATCGTTATCTATGATTACGACGCGGCGACCCAGAATAGAGTAATAATTCATAATTAACCACCAGCCGCACGAGATACCGAACCGTGTGACGTTTAAATCACCATTAGCGCCTACTTTCGCACCTACTTGTGCAATTTCGGCGGCCGAACAAAGTTCATAACGAATTGGTTTTATTATAAATAATATACGCGCGGCGTTATTGTTTATGGTCAGCACTAGCTTGACGTAATTTAATGCGATTTAATACTCAAGTCGCACATCGATGCTAGATACACATACATACAGAACGGAAGCGTGTTCCTGGAAGGCAATTGAACGTCGCATGCATGTCGCTTGTGTCTCGCTCATGTCTTGGGTCAATAACAATCATGCACAGCAGCCGATAAGAGCATAACAAATTATGCAACGACCGAGTATAATAATTACAACGTGTAATATTGTGCAGATAAACGTAATGTTGCGTGCTGGATTATTATTTACGTTCAACATTCTTGGAGCGTTGAGTCGTGTGAGGTTGTCAATATCAGACTGAAACACTTTGTGCAAATTGTGTCAAAACCGTTTGTCAAACCTACGCTAAATGGAAATCTCTTTTCGAAATTTACGATATTAACAATTTGTAGTTATATGCGTATAATTTGATGTATTTCTTTAGATATTGTGCTTTTTTGTTTTTTCAAGGAGGAAACGGACATGACACCGACACAGAGAGAAAGCTCCGAGTAAGTTAAGGGCGCGTGGAAACAATAGCCGAAGACGTCGACAACGACTGTGTGGCGTTTTTATGGCTTGGCAATTAGGATGACGGAGATTCCAGGCAAGCGTGCGTTTTTTTCCCTCCGGCGTCGCCGTATGTAATCCGCGTCCATTCCGCGCCGCGCCAGTAACGATCTTTCGCCGTCTCCAGCGCATTAAACCATTACACGTGCAGCGCGCCGAAAGAAACGCGCGCGTGAAATTATTGTGGAGAATCGTGGGGCACGGAAAGTGCGCGCACATTCGAAAGGCATCGTGCCGGAGAGTTCCTAAGGAGGGAAACGCTTTTTGCGGTCGTCGTATCACCGCTACCACCGCCATCACGGCTGGCTCTCGCAAACGTCATTATCTTAACTTTTTGCCCCTCTTTTCGTCCTCTCATGCACTACAACAACCGACTTCCAGGATTGTATTCCTACTTTTTTTTATTGCCTTTTAGTTTTTCTATTCTGTTATGTTTTTTGGGCAGGATTTTACTTTGGCTTTTGTAGGCGGTGCTATTCTATTGAACTGATAGCCACTATATAAGAAAATATTCATCTACAATGTCTAAAAATCTATAATAAAACAGCTAAATATAAAAATAAGAAAGAAAAAAGTTGCTCATATGGCACTTTATTCTATTTCATTTCAATTATATCAGGCACATATTGTATGATCGTGAACGATTGGAATTTATAAGTAGTATCCCAGTGGGGTTTGAATGCTAGAACCCTGTACTCGGGTGGACTTGAAGTGGTCGCCCTAATTGAATGTAATCGCAGGACCCGCCGAAACCAAGTGGGTCGAGTTCGAGCTCCCGGCGGCGATTTGACACGTCGCGTTACAACCAGCCGAATTCCATGTGGGAGCTTGTCCCCTGGGGAGCGCATTCAGATTTGGCATTGTTCATCACTTATTTCGAATAATGCGTGTTGACGCTATCTGATCAAACGAACAAAAGTGACAACGTTAAAGAGGCCCGCGCACATCACACCCTCTTTCGATTAGCCACCCCAACAAACATATACTCCACCACTCGACTCGCATCGTAATCATCGCAATCATTTCTGATTAATAAAATAACAGATGTTTGATATTCACTCATCACTGCACACTTAAACATTGTGATTAATCAGTGATTTATGAATGACTAATCATTTACAATTTAAACATTTCAGCGCAATAAATTACACCGAGTACAATAGTTTTGGCAACAATAGGGAATGAAGTTGTTTGAATGCAGTAAGGTATTGCGCTGAAAATGCGAAAAAATAAACGCGAGAAAAAAAGAGTCAACATCGATTCCCATGTAAATCTGCTAGCGGTCCGCGAACGCAAGCCGAGCGTTTCCATCTTATTTCCACGGTCGCGTTTTGCAGGCTCGTCGAGCATCGACTAGTATTCTATCGTCTATAAAGCCGAGGTGAAACGCTCGACTGGGATGTGAGTATTCGGCTAGCAATGCGTTCAAAAGAGATAAGACAGGCGCTCGAACGGTTGTGTGTGTGTGTGTGTTGTGCGAACACAGTGGTAGCACTCATAGCCAAGGCGGATATCGGTTTGAGCTCGATTTCACGAATCTGAGAGTCAGCCGAGCGTTCCGGAACCGGTCTTTTCTCCTTCCTCCCTTATTGATTTTCTCATCGCCGTCGTCGTCGCTCCTTGCCGGGTTTGCTTGTGGCGTCTTAGGGGGGAAATAAGGGGAAATAAGGCGAGAAAGATCCCTAAGGTACCGCCGCCGCTGAAGCCGTTTTCCTTCACACATTGAATCCGGAGCCAAAAGGCAGAGCTACATTCTTTCCACACAAACAAAGGTATAAGCTATAGTGAAAGATAAAAAACGTCCCAGTGTTAGAATGTTGAGGAAACATATAAGGAAAATGATTAGAACAAAAAAAATTGCAAAAATCAAGCTGTCCAGTTAATATTCGTGGAACATTCGGTATATGGTGGATTTCTTAAACTAAGAAGGCTTTGCCGCGTGCCTCTCGCGTAAAATCGCCCACTTGATCGAACCCTTATAGAGAACCTCCACATCGCGCCACGCCAAAGCCAAACATTGGCTTTTCCATGGACAAAGTGAAAAAATGCGATAAACACGCGCGTAGAACGAAGACGGTATGACAGAAAAGAGGGAAAACTCTCGGCACGGCCCCAAGTTACTCGAGCGAATCCGCTGTTCCGATTATTTTGAGGGGCATCGGTTGTGCTAGCATAGCTGTAGCCGGTGTGCATTGCCATTGCTTGGTGTGGATTCCCGCTCGATTCCCTTTTATAATATCGCGCGCTCGACGCTTTCCTTTTCTTAACCCCCACTCTCCGGCAACACGCTACTAATGCCTTCAACCCCAAAGAAGAAGCCAGAACATTGGAACATTGGGACATCCTTTCGGTCGATTCCTCGCGCTATTTAAACTTTCTCTCCTCGCTCGCGCGACAAAAGGACACTCACACTCGTGCCCGCAACTTTTCTCTGTGCATCGCTCCGGGTGGAGGAAGCGTTAAGGCGGGCGTTTTATCATTTTTATTCACTACCGGAACATAAAAACCCAAAGATCTAGTTAAGTCAGGCTATCGTGCCCTGCAGGCGTTATGTTTTCCGGCGAAAAGCTTGTTTAACGCGCGAAAAATAGAGATGCTCACCTATTAATAGACGAAACACTGGGTACGTTATCTTGAGAGCAGATGCCTTCGGCGAGCAGTCGATCTCGGATCTCCCACGCAAACATCGTTGGGTTTTCACGCTTGTAATTCGCGATGGCGTCCACCACCGGTGGCGTTGCTACTTTTGGTTTTGAGCCGCCAATGACGCCTGCTTTGAAACTACCCGTTTCGTAATACCTGCAAAATAAAACAAAAGTAATTACATAACAAGTATAAAATTTATTTCAATAAAAAAAAAAGGTTTTGAGAAAAATTATGTGAATATACTTTCAGATTTGCACACTGCGCGTGGATTATTCAAATTTACGAGTATTGCAAACATTTTATTCACTGCTTGCAACTTTGGCCTCCGTGCCAACTCAACAACGAATGAATGTTGCACTGTTCCGACAGATTTATTGGTCATTTACTTTTCGCTGCGTCAATGCAACTATGATATAAATGAATATTTTTGACATATCTACGTTTAATTAAAATTTTATTACGTGCATTTTGCAATACCTCTTAAAAAAATGCTCGACGTTTATCTGAAGAATCTAATAATCTTCGTTTTATACAGCTAAGAAGTTTTTGAATGATTGATGCCGAAAGAATTGAGATGTCTCAAGGATAAGCGCATCCATTATGCAAATCGACAGCGTAATTGCTCTCGTCCAATCGCTCGTTGTGAAAATATGAAAATTTGGGCGCCCAAGGTGTTCACTCAATGTCGCGGCACGCGCGGCGCGCGCGGCGATCTCAGTTCGCGTGAGATTTTTCATGCCTTTTATTTCGTATGATTAGACGCGATGTTTGCGAGCGTACGTCGAGCGATAACTAAGCGGGAGCGTTTATACACAAGTTATAAATTCTGTATCGGTATAAATTTTCTTGCGGGATCGAACAATCATCCTAAATTACGTCCGTTAGATATTATACCAAGTGTTTTCCAAGTTGCATTTATTGAAATATAAAACTTTCTCTCCCAGCCATTCATGTGATAACCACCAAACTAAAACTTTATTTTATATTGTAATAACAAATACGTTTTTAATGAAGTAAAATTTACGAAAATAGTTGAGTGGGTATTTGGATCTGTTGATTAATCAGACGTAGTTGTTCGCCCGTGTGCGTCGGCAAGCTTGAATAAAAAAAGAGTGAAGTTTTCTTTCGCGAGTTGTTAACTCAAAGGTCCGGCCGCAAGGCGAGTCGAAAGCAGCAGGTAGCTTATTAGCCATTAAAACGCCGATATCGATACGACTTGCATGAGTCTCCTAAATCTAAACGCTACACGCTGGCTGCGAACGTCGAAAACCCAATGAGTGCTTTATACTTTGCCGGAACTTAATTCCCAGCTCAAATATACGAGTAATTTCTAATAACTAATAAACTCAGCTTTGAAATTCACTCAATTAATAACGCTTGTCTGCACGATTTATCATTAATTTTGACAAATCATTGATAATAATTGCTATTAATAAACTTCTTTTAGGTAAACAAACAGTGGGTCAAAATAAACAAAATTTTCATGCTAATTATTTTTTTCTTTTCTCATAGTTATTAACAAAATATTTTGTTAATCTGTCAATAGGTCTTATATAGCACAATTTCAACTTTTTTTGGATTTATTTTATTACTATACTTATCCAATCATAAAACTGCATTGTATGATTTTATTTTCAAGCTATTTGATTAATTTGTTTGCACCAGTCGGACGAGATATGCAAAGCACTGCGTAGATAATTTTTGCAAATTGATTAAAAGGCGCTTCTCGAGGAAACCGGGCTGTTATTTAACTTCGGTTGTATTTTACGAGCACTTTGTAAACTGGAACTTTTCTTTCGCTCGCGTACACTCCTCGCCGACTTGCGCAGCAAGGTTTCATCTATATTTGAGTTATTGTTACATGAATAATGCGCAAACGAAATATAAATCAGTCGGTGTTCGGTTACTCATTTTCCTTGTGCGCGCGCGCGTTTCTTATCTTTTTATCCACACAATCGGCGCTGCGCGCTGTGCCGACAAAAATAGAAAAACGCAAAAAGATGAAGATAATGAAATCCGCGACCGTCGCAGCAGCATTTATTAATTACGAGACATGTTTAACTGCGTCTACAATGTCCGCGATGCGCTGCACAAAGACGCTCCATGAATAATTGTGAATAATGACTTTGGGAGATATATACGCCGATTTCGAATTGATTTATCGTGTCGTAACTATGTCTTTCTAATTAGATGCTTTTTCTTTTGATTTTCACGTTAAAATAGAAAAAAATCCCTTTATAGTTTCGTGTGCAGTTAATAAATAATTAACCAACCGCGTACGCGTACTCCCCAGCGGGCGAATATCAAAGCTTTCAATCTGATGTATTATTGATGGCATTCAAGTGTGTTTCGCGTTGATGGAGGTTGCGAAGTTGATTAAAATGCGGTCGTATTAAAAGCCGGCAACCGCACGCAGCTTCCGAAAAGCCAATTATCATCATCGACGCGCGCACAGGGAAAACACATCAACGCTCAAACGTTCAAACAAATCCCACCGCCCGCCGGTATCAAAATCCATCATAATCAGCATAGTAATATCGTCCCCATGACCGGCCGCGACGCGATAAAGAAATGAGAGATGGGAGGGCGTGCGGCTGGAATCAACCCCTTGGTGTACGCGTGCGCCCCTGCACCGCATCAACTCGCTAATAAACAATAATTCAATTACAGCCGACACAGCAATGCCATAAAGGGAGTATTCTATATGCTCATAGCACAAAATACCAAAAATATTCGACTTGTCAAGCAATCACAAATTTTTTTTCGTTTTTCAAAAATTTGATAAAATCTATTATTTATACAAGTAATAAATAACTTATTTTGATATTTTGTATGACTTTAGGCAGTATGCAAAATTTATATTGTGAATTTGTCACAGCCACGCATTTTGCCGGATCGTGCTAGTTGATCCTATATTAAGGGTTGGTTCTTGGATGTGCGGCATACACATATTGGAATATATTGGCTAATGTGTTGCCGCACGGTATAAACAAGCAACCAGAATCACATTACGCCGCTTTAATCGAGTTATTCAACCCTCTGTGTGTGCCGCGCACCTCCGCCAGAACCGAAAGTGCACACAAAGGGATCTCTTGATGTACTTATACACTTATGGCAGTACTTTATATACGCTGCTCTCTGTTATACTGTCATCTCATGGGATGACTTGTGTCAGAATTAATTTTACGAGCTTATTCCACAAACAATATATTTTTGGATGTTTCAAAGTGGAAATCTATCTTTTTTATTATTGGGCATAAAAAATTGTAATATAATGAAGTATTAAAGTGTTTAAATCCAAATTAAAATTAAATGGTTCAGAAATTTCCAAAATATATAATTAGATTGTTGGTAAATTTTTTTGTGCATTTTTCACCTATTTTGCCGGGAAAATCGGCTTAACCTATGCCAATATCAAATAATGTATCATTTACTATTTTACGGATGGCTTAAATATAGTGTTTTTGAGAAAAATGCAATTTTCTATTCTTGGTATAGAAAAAACTAGAAATATTTTGAAGATTTTGTAAAATATGATTTTGTTTGTGATGAAAATTTCTCGTTCGTATTGAATGCAATTGCAGTAGAATGGCAGCGTGTGCAGACAAAGAAAAATAGAGGTCGGTTTCACTGAATTCAAAGTACGAACGCGCCTGAATGGGAACGAAAGAGAGTTAGTGCGCAGTTTAGTGAAGTTGGCGAAAAAAGTGAAAAGCGAAAAGCCGGCGTGCGGCCGGAACTCGTCGAGAAAAAATATGATAAATGTAATAATAGCCGCATGCGGTCTTTTCGGTCATATAAAATAATGTGCGTAACAGCATGTACGTTCCGCTCGCAGTGATGGTTTTTCTTTTTATGCGCATTTCTTTTTTTCTGTGGACGGAAATTCGGCAAGCTGCCGCCGGGTGCCAACAGGGTGGCGAGCATTCCAGTGGTAGCCGGAGCTGTGTACTACATGCACTCCACACTACACCACCAGCGGGGAAAATCTAGACAAGTGGAATGGGAACCAAAAATAAGTGCAGCCGAAAAAAACGGCCAAAGGAAAAAGGGAAGATGGAGAAAGAACGGGAAAACATTATCAGCAGGTCGTATGATCGTGTTAGTTGAATGTGCGGCGCGCTTTCCGCTCAGCGTGAAACGGAATAAGGGGCTTTTCTATGAATCCACGCGTTGCGAGTTCTTTTTTAGATTCCATTGCGTCTTATAATTACATTACACAAGGCAATTTTTGGCGTTAAAATGTTTCGTTAATTCAGTTGTGGCAAATTTTAAGTAATAAATATTTCAACTTTGCTTACCTTGATAAAATTTTGGAAACGCATCCGTGCGACACCCTCAACTGACGGGAAATGTCGCACGGTCTGACCCCGTTGTGCGCCAGCTCGACGATCCGCTGGCGCACCACGTCGGGCAGCGGTCGCCCGTTCACAAACACCCCGCCTAATTGATTTACGCCACCATGACCTGAAACACGAAGGAAGCACACAGCATGTAAGGATCTGTCCACTGATTCATTAAACATTACCATTACAAAAAAAGTTTAGAACCGAAAAAACACACAACATTCACACAACAAAAGAAATGGGATACAAAAGAAAATAAAAGGTTCACAATTAAAAAAAAAAACCAAGTGGATTAGAAAACAAAATTTACATTTTGAAAGTAATTAGTCACTTTGTACATGATTAAAAATATTTTAATGTAATTTTCATGTTGTGGCTGAAAATATGTATAATCAAGTTATGTGCATATTGAACGGAATGTAGTTTCGAGCCTCTTGTTACCAAACATGCCGCAATTGCCGATTAGATATTTAAATGTAATTTTACTCGAATGTAATTAATTGCCGGAGACATTTTTAATGCGGCAATAAGCAAACAGCGCAATATCAATCACTATGCGATTCTTTTTCGCCGCAGAGTAATTACTGCGATGTGAGTCGGTGAGTTTACTGCTCCTTAATCCTGCACATTGTGCTAGCTAGTTATTTACCTCGGCGGCGAAAATATTAACGCCAAATATAGCAGGCAATAAAACGCTTACATTAATTTATATTATGCATTAGAATGGCTAAAACTAAAGGCGCTGTGCGTCGTGATTACAGGTGTGGAATTCCAGCGGCAATTCAAAGGAAATCAATTTGCTAAAGCAATTTGGTGAGTCACTCTTTAATTGCACAATTAATATAAAATTGTATATTTTTGATTTTACGTGTAAAATAAAGGATTTGACATGATTTACGTCTAAAAAGATAAAAATTAACACTTTTAAAATTGATTTGGGTTTTGCCATTATACTTTTTGTTTCACGAGATCAAGTCAAGTGCAATTAAATTAATCAATTTAAAATGGTAATACGCAAAATACAAAATTTAAAATACGCGGATTGTATCAATGTATACTTGCATACTTCGCTATCTAAAATAAATTTTAGAAATATTTTTAGAGTATAAGAGAAATCAAACGTCAATAAATCAAGTAATTTGACTTAAGATGCAGTAATTAGTACTGGTTTGTAATTGACTGCACCCGAAGCTTGCAATGTGAGTATATTAATATTGATTTATATCGTTTTTGCATATATTATTCAATTACACTCAAGTTTTTCTCGACCGTTAGCTAGTAGGTAATATTAATAATAGACGTGCGTTCATTTTTCTGTATTATTAACATTGCTTGGAGGCATACTAACCTCTTCAGAGAAAATATTGGGCAAATTCTGCATAATTGAAAAATTAACATTTTTACATGTAACTCGCGGTACAAGCATGCAAAGAACAAAAAATGCATTATCAAGTCCAGCGTTCATAAAAGTGGCTCACGGCATGCAAAGCAAAATCAAGATTTATGAAAGCGACGCCGGCGTAAGTACACCTTGTATTATTCCGTAAATTACGAGTTTATCTCCAGCGGATTTATGCGATGCGTAATTGCAATTGATAATATTTTATTAAATCGTCCCGCTGACTTTATTTATTGCTTTTTAATGCATTCGGATCGCTGGTTTTAATCTGCGCGCAACTATTTTAGTTAATGTCTGATATAGAAACATTAGCGAATTAAAAAATGACTTCTAACGTCGTCTATCGGCACATGTCGTCCACGTGTCTAGATCATAACGACACGTGGCGTATGACTCTCTTGCTTTTTTCGTAGTGTTTCAACCCTCTGGGTCTCATACCACCTACGATGAAAAGTAATCGTATGAAAACACACAATGCACTTCCGACCATAATATTTGCTGTGCACGCGTTGTCAAGTTCAAGTTCGATTCGACAATGTGATAAAAACCGCAGTGCACAAAAGAGATGAAACATTCATCCAATAATAGTGTATTCAAAAGGTAAATATAAAAATGGGTCAATAATGCACTTTTTATGTTATTGCATTCATGATTTTATATTCTCATCCGTCAAATATAATTACCATTATCATTACCAATATCAAAATAATACAATTAAATTTTTATTCAAAATTTTGATTTTTTTCTTTTTTCTTCTGTTTTTAAAATGCTCATACCAAGATCAAAAATTTGTACCTATGGTGTGGAAGTGTAAAATTAGTGTTGCTACTATTAATACCATAATATCATCTTTCACACATGTGCGTTGCGATAGTTAAATTTATTGAAATTACAAGAATTGCCCTTCCTTGTAATGTCTACAAGCACAAAGGGATGCACTGTCTACCAAGTTCCGTAGCAGTTAGTTAACTCCACTACTCGTTGTGCCTCATCCTTACTTACATCTACACAACTAATTGGTGGCTAACTATAGATTAACGAAACTATTGCCGGCACCGCTCGGCTATTTAGTTTAAAGCTAAGATTCGCCTTCCCTCTTCATCTTCGCGTTCGCCTCACGTCCACGAGGGAATCCGCACTGGCACACGAAGCCGGCGGAATATCGAAGATGCAGCATGATGGTTAAATGCCCGCTGCCCGATGTCCCAGATGAGGATGAATTGTTTCATGGCGGCGGTTATTTGTTAAGTGCACGATAGAACACAGCGTGTCGCCGCTCGTAAACAGGGTGGTCTGATATCTCTTTGCGCATGAAAACCGTTCTTATCTCCGGACATAATATTAAACGCTTCTTCAACAAGAACAACTAGAATTAAAACTTTTGTTCCAATTGGAGGCTATAGTACAGTTGTATGTCGCAACATGACCAGCGAAAAAAAAAATAATTAAAATTTAGTTTGTCTTCGTTATTATTAATGTAGATGCATGTTAACATAACATATAGATAAACGCACATAAACGTATAATGCGTAAGATGTTTTTTTAATTGTAGTTCCATTTCCCGCAATAATTTATTTTAGATGACCAGTTCTTAAATTACAATTACGCACGTTTCTAAACAACTAAAACGCGCCTAGCTAAAATAAAACTAAAGTAGGTTAAAGAAGTGATAGGAAAAGCTAATTTAGGTAGCCTCGTGTTACTGCGTGCGTTTATAGGTATTATGCGTAATGAGGTAATGAGAATAATAAGATTTAAGATGTGCTCGGCTTTTTTGTATCAGAGCGCCGTTTTCTGACTTTTTAATGATATTACGAAATGTTAATAACAACATGTGAGTGCATTAATAACGCTATAGCCTACAAATGTTGTTCGAAATGTGTGATGACACAAACGCTGTTGGTGCTTTTCTTTTGCCTGCTATTGATACACAATTGCTGATTGCACCTTGATTAAGCCACACACATCTATCCAAACAGACTAATATCGATTGCATTAAACTAATTTACTTCTAAATTATAGCCGAGAGTAAAGAAATTATATGACATGCTAATAATTTTATATTGGTGCTTCTCTCCATTCATATATCAAATGCTTAAATAGTCGTTTCATTGAATTGCCGTATGTCACGTTTTCGTCACCAAATCTCACATCTTATCAATGATCTTATCACTTGGACCCATCACAGCAATATATATTCCATTTGCCCCTTGGTTGTGCCGCTCAGTGAGCTTAAAGCTTTAGTGCTGTATGCTTCAAATTACACGCATGTAATAAAGCTTAGCATGTAAGCCGATAAGAACAGATAAACATCCAAACAACAAGTGTTCAAGTACCGGCTACTTATGTTACAAAGGGGTGGCATACGAGTGGTGTGCGTGTTTGCACTTCACCACCTATTAGATCTCTAATCATTTATTAATCAACACATTAATATTTTTTTAGTTTAAGTTGGATTTTATGTGATTAATTTTTATGTAGCTATTAATGTGCTAAAATATATTTATTTTGGTGTAAAAAGCATTTTGGTACAATTGAAAATTTTTGTAAATAAATATGTGTTCCGACGGAAAGCATCGCACATGTTTCAATATATTTTGCTATCATTATCACAATGATTACCTACAACGATTTGCGTTCGTTTTAGGTAGTTTATCGAGTGGTTCCCGTTGGATTAATTAATAATATGTTATCGATGAATTTTTATCTTTGTTTACTTCCTACTGACACTCTCTTCATTATATCAACATTATGATCAAATTCGGTTGTATCAATATGTGAAATATTCATAATTTTCTTACAAGTGTAATATTCCATCATATTTTGATTGTAGCGGTATGCAGTTGAGAGGTCCATGGCCGCACCCGATGGCCTCAATGATAGTAGCGTCGCCAAACTCGCGGTTTCCAGGATTCGCCGCCGCCGCCAATGAATAAATGTTTTCGCACTTAACTATCTTTGTTTCCACACGAAATAACACAAATTAATAAGAATAAATTGCCATAAATTATAATTCATTGATAATGACACTTTTGTTCTTAATTAGAGAATTAATTGTCCGTTTGAATCACATAAAAGTACACATTTAATCCCACACGTGTTAAAATCACTGTTTAATAATATTTTTTGTCCTGAAATTCTGTCTAAAGTAAAGTTTATATTTTTCAAATTTGAATTTTTAAATGTCACCGCTGCATTTTCGTTTGTTTATAATTGTAGGTTTTGGATGCACATTATTTTTAATTATGAAGATTTTAAGTTGTGATTGTTGCCTTTGTACTGGTTTATGACTAGATTCGTTTCGGATGTTTGCGCGTACTGAGATTGCAGTGATTTTGCAGGTAGTCGCAACGCGGCGGGCGCGATGAGATAGGCGTCGCGACGCGTCGAGTGGCAGCTCGGACGCCGGACTAGTGACACGCGTAAACGCGCTCGGGGGTTCGTCGCGATGCGATGCGATGCGCTGGCTGGGTGATTTCGCTCACGTCTGCCCGCCGTTTCGCCCGTCGTGCCCCCAACGGCGTGTGCATGTGTGTGTGCGTGTGCTATTCTTGCGGGGCGGAGTCACGGCCGAGGAATTGTCACGGCGGTTTGGAAAGTCAACCCGCTTTACGGCACACACTCGCGAAAGCTCCGATATACCTATACGTGTGAGCAGAGGAGCACATCATGCAAATAAGAATAGAGAGGGAATAGGGTATGAAATTGCATGAAATTGTATG